CACTGTACTCAAAATGTATCAATATATTTTACTGAATTTTAGTATAAAAAAGGTTACGTTTATAAAAAGCATCACGCCAGTTTGTAATAGCAATTTTTAAATAATGCATAATTCTAAGTCAAATGTCTGATCATGATTTCGCCATATTCTTATAGGACATATTTCAAACTATGTAGACAAATAAATGTGTGGTTTATTTTCTTTCATATTACATATAGAGAGATTTTGTATACTAGAACAAAGTTTAAAAAAAATTGAATTTGAGAAAAGATTTGGCTTATGTATTGTGTACTACCTTATGAACCAAGTCTATACTGTTTAGCATATGCAGTGGTTGTCAAAAATATTATTAAAAATACAAGCGTTACAGTCCATTTGACCTTTTCTTTGGAAAATATATATAAAACATACTGAAATGGATATTTTACTCATGTCTTTTTAATTTTGAGAGGCAGGATTTTAATAATTAGGATTTAACATGTTTATGTGCTCTTGACACTTTGCTTTTTAACTGTATGATACATAGTTACCGCATAAACTGAAATTAAAATATAATGTCCAAAAAAGAAAGGCATAGTATGAATAATAATCTAAAAAATATAAAATATTTTTGTCATACAATTTCATTTAGATGGATATGATTCATCCGAGAAAGATGCATCAGTTTTTAACGCTTTTGTTAACTTGATAATTAATCATTCTACAAAATGCACAGTAAAAAATATTTGATTTTGCAAAATGCTAAAATTTGGTCTTTTAACAGTTCTTTTGTTGGTTTCTGATCCACATCCTTCAGGTACAAAAAGGTCTATCAAAAGCAAGGGTTATCGATATTTTGATTCTGTTTTATTTTTAAATTGACGCTATTATAAAGCTGCATCTGAATTATGTATATCGCAAAAAGGAAATTGGGCGACTGGAAGCAGGTGTACCACAGTCTACAATTGCAAGAGGTTTTAATGTTGCACAAAGCACCATATCTAACCTATAAAACACATATCACCAGCATGATACAACAAATGAAAGCGATAAAAAAATATGACAGACCACGCGTATTATTAGCAACACAGAATCGCTTCAGTGGTTTGCCTAATTTTCATCACCGGTCCGCAATGACGTCAGCTATAGCATTAGCTATCCCTAAATTGCACAAGGTATCAATCAAGACCATTTGTAATCGACTGCTGGATGCTAAAATTATAACCAGACTGAGGTCTACTCATGCCATTGTTCTGACCCTGCAACACCGCAAAAGTCTCAGACCAACAGATTATGGCCACAGCAACACCGCTGAACAGATTAATTTAGCTACTAGTGTCCTAAATGTTTATTGCAAAGCTTGATGTAAAAGTCAGAGTGCATTAGCTCAGTAATGAACGTTTTACAGCAAACTGCCTCCGGGAGGTTTATACATTTGGTGATGTGGAAAACGGTATGATAAACAAATAGGATGATTTGGTTAATATTCAAAGAACTTTGACGGCAAAATGGTACTATAACGATGTCCTACTTGCACATGTCTTTCCAATAATGCAGCACCCTGGAGCATTAATGTGTCATGAAAATTTTTCTATGCGTTTATTTTTTAAAGAATATACTATGAAAATACATCGGGATCGGTATACCAGAATGAATCGTTGTTGACTAACAATTCTGAAATCTCATTTGGAAGATTGTTGAATTAATAACGCATTAAAAAAAAATGATAAATAATTATTTTTAATTTCAATTTCATTATTCATTTTAGCTTTGATGGTTGAGGAATCATATTTCTACCGGTATTTGATTCTCAAATTCTATCGCTGTCTTAATATCCCTGGATTATTTTTTTTCTTTGTAGGCAAATACATGGAATTAAATGCTAATAGAAAATAAATAGCTGACCACTTTTAAATGATGTCATAAAGCAGGCAACACATGTATTTCTGGAAAACTCTAGTTCATCAATTTTAAAAGGAATGGGTTTTATTTCTAATCATAATTTGTTCAAATTATATAAAAACAATAATAAGATATGATTGTTTAATATATATCATTTGTAAACCACATGTTTTCTAACAATTTTATAGAAAGATTTCAAATATTATTTTAGAATTTTTTTATTTCATATGAATATGTTACAAATTTAAAAATAAAACCCTAATTAACTGTTTGTCCTTGACCTGTCTCACAAGACTTTATTTTATGCTATGCATCATTTACTACTAAAATTTAAACTTTGTATTGTCTTGTTTAAAAGCTAATCAAATTTCAATTTCTCGGAAAAATACCCTGAAAATTCATAATTATGCAAAATAATTTTATAAATAACATTAGTCTTTCAAACATGAATGGTAAGTGAAAGATAACAGTACGTAATCATGCAGAAAAGTCCATTTAAACAATAAATATTATTAGCAGACCTCTGAAAACAGAGTTGGAATCAGGTGCCATGGATGAGTAAGCATCGGGCCTGTCTATATTTCTGAAGAAATAAGTTAAATGTCCACCCATTTAATTAAATTCTGGTTTGTTGAGCCTTCCTGAAGCTAAACCTGTTTTGACGGAATGAAATGTTGTTAATTATCTTATAAGGGATTATTCACCAATTAAGATTAAAAAAAATCAAAAGCCTACTTCTGACTGTGCCGTATTCGTAAATATTTATTTAGTTAGACGGTCTACTACTGGACTTTTGCGAGAAGCACTGATTTTTACAGTCGACGGCTTACTTTGACATTTAAACCTGCCTTATGAATTGATAATAGATAGGAAAATCTTAATAGTGGTTATAAGTGTGGTGTTTGGGGCACTTACATGATGCAATCAACGCAAGAGATGATGGGAGGCAGAATTACACAACTTAAATTACCTTATCGTGAGGGGTAATATATCTCCTTTCAATCTCATTTTCCGAAGGAATCAAGTAGGAAGAAAAAACATTCCGGAGGAAACTAAATAAGATTTGGTCAATATGGAAAGGGAAGGGGTTGAGGGTAGGGTGGTTGCCTTTCCCTTCCTAGACAATGTAATATGTGTTTTGAAATGGCCCATTATTATCGTTTAATTAACTGTTAAGCTTAATATCTATATCGCAAAAGAGCTTCCATATATTGTCCTAGTGTAAAAGTAAACCGTCGATTGTAAAAGTCAGCGCTTCTCGTAAAAGTCCACTACTACTACGCTCATTATTGCTATTCAATGAACGGAAACGCAGATAAAACTAAAGTATACATTCAAAGATAACAGCAATTTCTCAATTTATTCTTTCAAATTTCTAAAAAAAAAAAAACCAATTAAGAAATAAAGATTCATTTAAAACTTTTATCGGGATATAAATACGGGTTGGTCATGTGATTAAAGCCCTAATATCCAGATAAATGATTCAAATTGATACATGTGACCGATTTATAACAAATATTTGAGCACTATATTTTTAAACCCTTGAAATGATTTTTTTTTTTCAAAATTGAATGTACTGATCACGTCGATCACGTATAACGTCACTGTGAAAATACGTCGATTGTTTATGATTTAATGAGTTTTTGGTCATGTGACGAACCTATTTATGTAAAAGTTTAAATGCACATTGCCCAAATAGTGTTATATAAGGAAAAACATTTGCAAATGAAATATATCAAATTATAATTGAGAAAGAATTTGAAAACAATACACATTCTAGGTCGATGTAGTCAAATAAACTAGGTTTGAAAATCAAGGTCAATCCTCGTATATCGTATACAATGAATTATATATCATATTACACCTTGTTAAAACACCCGCTTTATACACCGATTTTTTCCAGAAGCTCTCAGCCTACTTTTTTATGCCTTACTTTTGACAAGAGGAGATCGTCTCGATTTAAATCGTGTAAACGTGAATGTCAAGGAAATGTATTGAATGCTCCAGCTTACCACACAACTCTAATTTTAACACTACGAGTTGCTGGGCAGAAAAACAAGCTAAAAAAGGATTGTTTATTTAAATATGAAAAGTAGGTCAGTTCTTTAAGTTTCATTTTCCTCAGTAAGGCTGCGAATTCAACTGAGAATATATCTATCCATAATAAAGATCATCGTTCCGGTCTTGAATGTACAGTATACAAGTATTAGGAAGTTTTGCATTCTTTTAAATTTAAGTAGTAAAATACTTCCATTGGGAAGTTAATATTTTTTTGATTTGGTTTTAAAATTACGAACTAATAGATATGTGAAATATATCAATCTGTTGAAAATTCGTGAGAAAACTTTTTTTAAGGACATAAAATCCTTCAAACAAGTTTTGTGTACAGAACAAGGTGTTACGTAATAGTTGTCACTCTCTAAACATACAAGAGAGTTGTCATACAATCAATTCTATACAAATAATAAATTAAAGCTCTCAAAATCATTTTTAGGGATTTTTTTTTTTTTTTTTTTTTTTTTTTTTTTTTTTTTTACAATTTTTTAAATTTCTATTAACTTCAATGAGAAAATAAAAAAAAAAGAATATCGTTTTATAACATACAATTAAACAGATAGAACTTGAGATACTTTCCCTTTCTTTCTTTCTTTCCATCTTTCTTGATTGAATGTTGTTTTACGTCCCACTCGAGAATTTTTCACTCATATAGAGAGGTCACCATAAACCCGTGAAGGACTTCAAATTTTGACCTTTACTCGGCACTCAGGGCCATTGAGCAGTGAGGGATCTTTATCGTGCAAACGCCTGTCGTGACACGGGGCCTCGGTTTTTAAGGTCTCATCCGAAGGACCCGCAACTTTCACTTCAAAGTGCCGAGCGCATGGCGAAGAAACAGTTGCTACCTATTTTTTTTTTTATCGACTTAAGTCATTCGCGGCCGAGATTCGAACTCACGGCCTTCCGATCAAGGAGCGAGCGCTCTATCGACTGAGCTACCGTGAACGGTTTCCCTTTCTTGAACAATTTAAACAACTTTTGTGCAACATGACAAATATTTGCAAAGTTTACAAGTGTTGTCGTATGTTTATCTTTTCCTAATTTCTTTTTAGTTTTTAAAGATGAGTTCATGGTGGACAACTTTGACAAGAAGTCACGTGCTACATGAAGAATGGTGCTTGGATACTTATACTGGTGTGTATAAAATGATTTTGTCATCAGTTTAACATAATAATAAAGATAAACGAGATGACTTTGAAAAATATATATAGAATTGTATCTATGATAGCTTTTTAAATCTAGTTCACTTATTTATTTTGACTAATTTTTAGGATTGATATGTGCCATGGTTGCTGCTGCTGTTTTATCTGTAATATTTGAATTACTGGGCGTCATTATGTTAAGAATTGTATACATTTGTTGGCCCAAAGGAATACCTCTCCAGTAAGCAAAGTTCTTGAGGACAGACTGTTTTGATAATGTTTTAATTGGGTGCTTCATGATTAAGAAATACGATAATAATGGCATTCCTTTAAACTCACAGATGGTTTATCTAATATTCGTAATATTTTCAGCATAAACAAATTTTTCAACATAAACCAATATACATATACTAGTAGACATTTGTATGTCATTAATTTCTTTTCACCTTATCCACTTCTATAAATTTTCGATAAATTGAATTTATTTTCTTTTGTAGAAATTCTAAGTGTAACCCTCCCTCTCTATTAATTAGACTAATAACATCCATCTTCCACATCTGTGGAGTCATTATAGGCTATATCCTGATGCTGTGTGTCATGACGATGAATATTTGGATATTTTTATCAATTTTATTGGGAACGCTTGCAGGCCACCACTTTAAGCGAAAAACGAGAAAACAGGAAGCGGAAGGAGATCACCTACAGATAGGAGTTAACTACCCTGAAATACGATCCCGTAAAGAAACAGGAAGTAAACAATGCGAACCATTGCTTTACGTGGAGAGGGAACAAACCGGATTACAATCAGAAACAGAGCTTCTGAAACAGAAAATGAAAAGTAGTGAAACCTGAATAATATAATATAATTACCAAAAGAGTTTTGCAAGGCAATAGTGCCGTTCACTCAGATGGAATTTACTCCCATTTTTGGAATTCCTCAGGTGGTTCACTTTACAATGCATATAATGTTGCACCAGGTGAAAAGTTTTATTGCAAGGAAGTCTATTTACAGAAATACCAGGGGGAAATAGGCAATATCTATTTTTTATGACTGTGCATGGATGTTTCCATTATTCAAATTTCAATTCTTAAAATTACAACAGAGTATGTTTTTTATGAAAGTGTATTTACATTCACTGATTATTTTCTCCTTAATTTCTGTGAAAACCGATTACTGTTTATCGAAGAGGAGTATAAACAATTTACTTACACGAGTAGAATTGTTACATCTAGTGTTTTTAAGCCATCTGTATGGAAGGAATTTTAAAAAGTGTCAAAATTGATTATTCAATATTTTACATACTTCAAACTACTTAAAAGGAATTATTTATTGCAGAAAAAATTACATAACCCATTTACACGTGTACAGGTTTGTGTTTTTTTCTGCAATGTTGGAACCGTCCATTCCCTTAAAAACAAACAAATCATTTTATCATTCAAACAACCAGTTTAAATCTTACATTACTTAATAATGTTCATCTTTATCATTCATGGGTAAAAAAAATCCTTAGGTTTAAAATTTTTGAAAGCGTATAAATTAGAAGCATAATGTTTTTAAAAAAAACATGCTAAAATGATAGATATAACTTGTGATAAACATTAATTTCAAGTGCAACTTTAAGTCATGCTTGGGGAATTGCGATACTTGCTAAGTGTTTTGCAACCTTGAAGTACATGCATAGATTTAAGAACATCCTGTTTTCTCTGAACCTTTATGTGTTGGATATAATTGGGCTTACTTTTAACTACATGGTGTCAAGGGCTTTGAAAGTACACGCATTGTGAACTTCATTGGTCTCAGTCTCTTAGACAAGGAAAAAGCTCCCATTCATAATGTATTGGAAAGAGAAAATCTCAAACCTGCGACAGCATCATGTTATTTAACAAATCTAGGGGGAAATTTGATCAGGCAAAGAATTGAAACAAAATATTTCAGGTAGCCTGTCCTCTTCGCTGGTGCTAACATGTTATTGGACACTGAATAAATTTAGAGGGACTAATCTACATTTTATGAATGACCAAATAACAATCTAATGCAATATAGATAATATAGATATATCATTCTTTGCCTTTTTCATATTTGTAAAGTTAGATAGTTGGAATAAAATATAATTTTGTTTTCATTCTTTATTTTCAAAAAATACAACAGGAATTGGGATAAAATATTCTAGGATATTCCCGGCTAATCCTCACCTATGGTGCCAGGGGCCCATTGGATTGGATATATTATATTATAGATGTGCCATATACATATAAAAATAAACATTAATCACTAATATTTTTTTTTAAGTCTGTATAATTTCATTTTCTTAGATATATAGAAAAAAAATACAAATATTTGTTAGAATTGATAATTGATTTCTAGAAAATTAAGTCTCGCTGCCAGTGGGGCACATCCTTCGTCTTACAGAGTCAATAATATGTACCCCAACATGGCAGCACTACTGAAGGACAGACCCCTTCAGATAGTCAGACTATATTATTATTATTACAAAGCTAAAGAAATATCATAAAACCATTTATATGTAAAGTTAACATCTAATCTTTTATAGGTCTCATATTGATACATTAGGTTTGTCTTTACATAGTATATAATATCATTCATATTTTCTTCTTTGTTTTCATGTCTTAGCTTCATTTTTATCTTATATATAAAAAATGCTATGTAAGATAATAAATAATTGAGTGAAACAGTAGTTTTGTTTTCTTCATAGAAAAATCCCAATACAATATTTTTCCATTTTATATTCAAATTCAGACAATTTTCTAGATTAGCCCAAATCACTTGTACATTTCTACATTCAAAAATTTGATGTTTTGTATCTTCTAGTGTTTCACAATACGGACATTTGTTTGATACATTCCATTTGTGAACAGATTTGTTATTAGTCCCCTACCGGTGAAACCGGAGGGGACTATAGGTTTCCTCTGAGTCTGTCCGTCCGTCTGTCTGTCTGTCTGTCTGTCCCTCTGTCTGTCTGTCAGTCTGTCCCACTTGGTTTTCCGCACTTTTTTCCTAAACGCTAATAGATATTGAGCTGATTTTTGGTATGTGAGTGTATCTTGATGAGTTACAGATCAAGTTTGCATTTCGTTCCGCTTCATTGATTTTTGACGGACTTACGGCCTTTTCAATTTTTAGGAGTTTTCCGCAGTTTTCTTCTTAACGCTTTCAGATATTGTGCTGATTTTTGGTATGTGACTTTACCTTGGTTAGTTATAGATCAAGTTTGCATTTCGTCCCGCTTCATTGATTTTTGACTGAATTATGGCATTTTCAATTCTTAACGGAACCAGATTACACTTGCCGGTAGGGGACTAGTATTGCTAATGCAATACTCTCAGAATACTTGTTATTAAGTAGATTTTGCAATAGCTCAAATTAAATTCTGCTAATCGTTTATCTTTGATATTAGTAATTTTGGATTGATAGATATGTGTTTTATTTTCCTCAAAGTTGAAATTAAAACTTTTCGACCAAAATTTCTCAGAGTAGGGTTTTTGAAAAGATTTTTTGATAAAAATATCATATATCATTTTACTACTAATCAAATTTATCGGTAATCTTTGTTTATTTTCTAACAAAATCATTGTTTGATTTTTTGTGTTTATAAAAGCTCCTTTTGAAACATCGCGATATTTTTGTATAGGTTTCACAACTTTTTTTAAGGTATTGTATTCACAGATAATATTTGATTTGTTTACAAGAATATTATAAAAGTAATTGATGTCATGGAAGTTTCCGTTTTCGTCAAACAGGTCCTTAATATATAAAATTCCACTTTTTATCCAATCTGTGTAGAAAAGAATTTTATCATTAAATCGAATTAGGTTGTTTAACCATATAGGTAGAGACAATATTTCAATATCGGTCATCTCCCTTGTATTGTGTATTTTATTTTTACTATCGTTCAGCGTACTGAGTATTTCACATTAGAATAGCGGTAATGACTTAAATATTTGTTTTATTTCATCAGTATTGGTTGTATTCGTCTTAATAAGATACTCTGGTGAAACGAATTTCTCGCTATACAAGATGTGAAGAAAGACTTTAAAGATGATTGTTTTTCATTGAAGATTCGTGTTACCCATGCGACCTTGAGCGCTTTCAATTTACAGTCAATGTCAACAATTCCTATCCCTCCTTCATTCTGTTTTCCGATCAACGTATTTCTTTTTATCCGTTCTCTTTTCCCCCAAAGAAAATTGAAGATTGTTTTCTTTATTTTTTTAATGGTTTCATTTCTAGGATATTGTAATATAGTAGCACTATAATATATTTGTGTTAATGCTAAAGTATTAATTAAGGTACATTTTCCGTATATAGTTAACTTTCTATAGTTCCACATTGTCAGTCTTTTTTCTAATTTATCAACTTTTTCGGTCCAGTTTTTATCATAGCACTGATTAGAATCATGACCTATATATATTCCTAAGCATTTTACGGGTGCGTTAGTGATATTTATATCATATAATTTGTCATATCTGTTTTTAGAGGCCCCAATAATATTCCTTCAGATTTATTCTTGTTGAGTTGCATTCCTGATATCTTTCCAAATTGTTCGATTATTTTTATTGCGTTTTCTATAGATTTTATATCTTGTAAAAAGAGCGATGTATCGTCTGCGTGTTGGAGGATTTTTATTTCTTTAAGCATAAAGTCATTAGTAAAACCTCTTACTTCTGGTAAAATTTGGTAGTTTTTTGGACATTATTTCTACTATAAATAAAAAGAGCAATGCTGATATTGGACATCCTTGTCGAATGCCTTTTGTCATTTTACAGGTTCTAGACATCCAACCGTTATTTTTTATACGAAATACAGGCCTTTTATATATAATTTTCATCCATTTGATGAATTGCTCTCCAAAATTGAACTTTTCTAGGGTACTAAACATAAAGTTCCATTCTACAGAATCGAAGACTTTTTGAAAATCAAGAAGTAAAATTGCACCTTCCTTTTGCTTAGTTTCGCAGTATTCAAATATATCAAGTAAAAGTCTTGCATTTTCACCAATATATCTACCCTTAATATATGCAGATTGATCTTTATTTATTAATTTGTCTATAATTTTCTGTAGTCTGATAGCGAATATATGTGTTAAAATTTTGTAATCACAATTTGTTACACTAATAGGTCTATAACTTCTGAGATCATTCTTTTCTCCTTTTTTGTGTATCAGTGAAATAATTGATAATTTTTGCGAAAAAGTCATTTCCTCTCTTTCAAATGTTTAAGTTAGTGATTCATAAAAATATTTTTTAATGTCGTTCCAAAATATTTTAAGGAATTCGACAGGTAACCCATCAGAACCAGGGGATTTGTTATTTTTCATCTGTTTTATGGCCTGCGCACATTCAGAAATCGTGGGAAGCTCATCACACATCTCTCTTTCTTGATTAGTTAATTTAGGACATTCACAATCTTCTAAATATTCTTTTATATTTTCTACTTGGACATGATTTGTTGAGTATAGGTTTTCCTAAAAATTACAAAGTGAATCCATAATATCTTCAGTTTTTGTTAATAATTTATTTTCTTTTTTAACTTCATGTATTGTATTTGATGATTGATTTTTTTCTTTCTAATCTTAAAAAGTATGATGTGTTTCTTTCCCCATTTTCTATCCAATTTGCTTTAGATCTAATAAATGCACCTTTAGTAGTTTTAGCATAAATTTCGTCCAATTCTGCTTCAAGAACATTTCTCCTTCTCATATCTAATAAAATATAATTAATAAATCATGCAAAGCAGATGTACCTTTTGTGGTTACATATAATAATCGTTTAAAGAATTTAAAGAACTGCAAAGTGTGAACATGGAACTATAGTGTATCTAAAATGCCGTTTATGTTACTGTAATGTCGTAAAAAAGAGAACAACTTGGAAAATGTGTTTTGGCTTTTGTGAAATTGTTATTATTAAGAGTTTTTTTTTCAAAGTTTATTTTTTTAAAACTAAAGGCAAGTTCAGAATCTACGGAAGCGTATTAGTGCCACGTAATATATTTTTTTAAAGTTGGTAAATCCTATTCCAACTTTAATCTTGGCTTTTCCAACTTTAAAGTTAGCCTTTCCATCTTTAAAGTTGGTAATTTCAACTTAAATCTTGGCTTTTCCAACTTTAAGAAAAGCCAAGATTAAAGTTGTAATTACCAACTTTAAAGGTGGAAAAACCAACTGGAATTACCAACTTTAAAGTTGGAAAAGCCAATTTTAAAGTTAGAATTAACAACTTTAAAAACTTTTACGTAGCACTAGAATCAGAGTGGACTAAAACGTTTTTAAAAAGTGATCTGTATGCTCATAGCATTTTTTTTATTCAAGTAAATGAACAAAATGAAAGATTTTGCTCATTTTATTATTGAGCGATTTCACAGCTTTTTCAGTTTCATATCTTGCTGGATTTATTCAGTGACCTGTCCCGGTAGCCTAGTCATAGAAGGCATAGTAATCGGGAGGTCCCGGGCTCACTATTCGTTCTCAGCGCCACGTCAAACCTAATACTTAAACATAGGTAGTGACTGTTTCTTCGCCAAACGCCCGGCACCGGCACTAAAAGTGAAAGTAACGGATCTCTCGGTCCTGTGACACCATAGGCGTTGGCACGATATGCGAATAAGCATATACTTTCTTTGTAATTATCTCTTAAAATGCTAAAAAGAACTCCATAATTTTAGGGGTTGTTGAACATTTAATAGCATGTTAGCATGAACGTTTAATAGCATGTTCCACATACCTTTGCAGTAAGTAGATAATTTGTTAGTTGGCCTTTGACCTCTAGAGTCAGTAAAACATCCAAATATGAAACAAATGAGGCAGATATTGTGATTTCTTATATTTTGAGTTCAAGTAATAAAACAAGTTGAATTTTGAAATTCAATAAAAATAAGTACAGCTATATTCGTAATCAATACAATGTAAAATATAGCTAAATATCTAATTGAAGGCAACAACAAGTTCGCATGTAGAAGTTTTTGAATAAATTCTCAAGAATGCACAATAAGTGCCCGTCTGCATTCCAACAGATTGTCTCCAAAGACTACATAGATATTGTCAATGTGGAACTCCAGCATCTCTTTAATATCAACCTCAGACTACATATGTATAGAGTCAGAGTGAGCTTTTACGAAGTAATTTTGTAGATGAACAATCACAAAATATCATTTTTATTGAAGAAGCAGTTGTCTATGACATCAAAAAGCCTAGCTTTTAAAATTTATCATGAGGAATTGACAGTGTAGAAAAGTAAAAGATTTTGACGTGACTGGCTTTTGAAAAATTTTATTATTTTAAATTTTCCTAAAGTTCTTTGGAGTTTTTGAGAACCCACATCTGATTTACACCACTTCTCGAATACGCTTTTAAAAATCAAATGTTAATGAATTTTGAATGTTTATACACTTTGAGAAAGAACACAGATCAACCATATACATTGCAATATCTTGTTGGTTAAGTTCTAAAATTAGACTTTCAATCAAAAGAGTTTGTTTGTTTGTCTTAAAAAAAAAAAACATTTTAAAGATAAATAAGTCAAACTTATGAAACCGAATACTTGCATCGTTCGCTAGAGGTCCTTTTATATTCAATTGATATAGAAGGTACCTGTGGGAGCGGAATGTTTGTCAGTTAAACTGCCATTGATATATGCTACTGAATATACCTATTCTGCTTATGCATAGGTAAGCTACAAGGAAGTGATTAAAAACTTTACCAATTATTTGTAAACGAAAGAATATCAACGCTGCAGGATAGGTAACAACGCAGATAAAAATTACTCTTTTCCCCTGAACACAAGAGGTAAGGAATTTCTTTGTGAAGAATATTGTTTCAGCAGAATATTTGTTTTTCAATTAATTTCTATCATTCCTTATCATATAGTATTACCCGATTACAAAACAGAAAAAAATTGTATCGATATATAGATGTCCATTCTAAAACACTCTAAGCTCACCTGTGCGAGAGGCTCATGCAAGTTTTTCTGTCGTTTGTCTGTTTGTCGTCGTTGTTGTTGTAGTAGTAAACTTTTCAAGTTTATATCTTCCCATTTATAATATAATTTATTTCAGCCAAACTTAGCAAAGAATATGTTTGGGTGAAGTGGATTCAAACAGCTTTAAGAAAGCAATTCCAGTTAAAGTCACATTAGGGGATCAAAATATATAGTCATATTCATTTGCAAGCATTCTCAGGTAGTGTAGAATTAAATTTGTTTTAAACCTTGGTTAGGGTGAGCCACAATATTAATAGGGTTTTTCCTTTAAATTATTTTGAGAAACAGGTAGGCAATGATTATTACTCATATTAAAATGCAAGCAGCCTCAGGTAGTGAAGATCAAAGTTTGTTTGAATCATGGTCCACACCCGTAGAATGGGCCATGCATCGTTTTATAACATTTTACTTTCGGGTACATCTAAATAAGAGCAGGACCATGATAAGTAATATTAATATACAAGCAGCCTCTTGAAGTTGTTTAAATCGAAGGCATCCGTAGATAGGGTTTGGCTACAAAAAGGATCAAAATTTTACATTTATTTAACTAAAAGTGAAAAAATAAAATTATGTTTCATGAAATTTGTTCAAATCATGAACTCTTGGGGTTGGACAGGGCCACGAAAGGTGATCAGAGAATCGGGAATATATGGTATATCGTTAAATATACTATCAAGAGAAACATTGCAAATTAAATTAAATCTTATTTATCTTCAAACACAAGTTGTTTCAAATAGTTTTACAAAATCTGGGTTCAACATTTTTAGAATGTTGTACACAAGAGAAAACAATTTAAAAAAAAAAAATAATATTAGTATCGAGAACAACAAGGGCATATTAGTGATACTGATATTGAAGCATATCTAAGATGTGTAGATTCGGGTTTGGTTAAGTTATGACCCCTTGTGGCTAGGATTTGGCCACAATATGGAAATAAAATTTTACATAGGAATAAAGAAGAAACAATTTCATATGAAAACAATAGGGCCAAGGTGACTCAGGAGAGCATTGTGGCCCATGGGCCTCTTGTTTATTGTGATTGAAAGTTTCCCCTTCTCTTAGAAGGTGGTTTGCTTGGTAGATTACAAATTTACTAATCAAATTTATTTAAGTTCTCAATAAAAATTAAATGTGTAGAATGTATTTGAAAGCTTTGACTAGAAAAGAAATGGATTCAAGTTTTGTCATCAAAAAGAAACCAATTTTAAAGAATGATAAATCCTCCTTCTATTCATTTATTCATAAGCTTTATCTACGAAATCGGTGTTACGTAACACAGGTAAACTTTCAAAATATATGCAATCGATAGTCTTGACAGTTTCTACCCGAAGAAAAAAAAATGATACACTGTTCTGCTTTTTTGACATAGATTCTTCGCGAATAATAACTGGAATGCACCAGTCTGTTTCAGGTCTCTGGAAATTTAAGAATTGGACAATTCAAAATGACATATATTTTGATGCTTATCAAATGACTTTCTTTTTTTATTAGAAAGAAAAATCAATAATTCAAATACTTAACTCTGTGAAATCAATTTAAATGAGTTTGTGTTTTTATTATATATATATATATATATATATATATATATATATATATATATATATATATATATATATATATATATATATATATATATATATATATATATATATAAGAATGAATTCATGGTGGACAACCCATACAAGAAGTCACATGCTGCACGATGCATGGAGGCTAGATACCTATACTGGTTTGTATACAGAAGACAACATCAAATGAATATAATGATAAATGAAAATATCAATTGTTTTTAACTCGTGCTTTAAAAATACATGATAATGAATTTGTGCAATGATAATCACTTATCATTCATACTGAATTTGTTTTAGGACTAATATTTGCTATGGTCCTTGCAGCTGTTTTATCTTTGGTATTTGAATTAATGGACATTATAAAGTTAAAGTTACTTAAAAAATGCTGGCCTGATGGAAGATCTCTACAGTAAGATTCTAAAAACTTTATATTACACTTTATGTCTATTATTGATTTTTTTGTGCCTTTTGTTTTTTTCTTGTTTGCTTTTGTTATTGATTTTTAGGTCACCTGAGTCACTAAGGTGACATATTGCTATCCTTTTTTGTCCGTCGTCGTGCGTCGTCCGTCGAACGTTTAACTTTTGAACATTTTCAACTTCTTCTCTAGAACCGCTCAACCAATTTCAACCAATTTTGGCATATAGCATCTTTGGGTGAAGGGGAACAAAAATTGTGAATTTCATGGTCCCTGCTCCCCTGGGGCCCCAGGGGTGGGGCTAAAACCACCAAAATTGATGCAATCTTTAAAAATCTTCTTCCTTACTCCTGGACATCAAGCAGTCAAACTGTTGACATGATTGTAATAAGAATTGGGCCCTCTACCTAAATTGTGAAATTCATGGCTCCAGGGTCAGGGGTTCTGGTGCTAGGGCGGGGCTATATATACATGTATCATATAGTGAAAGTGCATTATTTCTTTGAAAATCTTCTTCTCTTCTCCTGGGATTATTTAAACAAACTAAGTGCATGGTTATGACAAGCAATGATGCCTTTTCCAAAATTGTGAAATTCATGTCCCCTGGGTCAGGGGTTCTGGTGTTAGGGTGGGGCTCTATTGATTATATAGTGAAAATGCAATAATTCTTTGAAAATCTTCTATGTTCCTGGGTCTTATTTAAACAAACTAAGTGCATGATAATGGTGCACAAGGATGATTTTTCCAAAATTGTGAAATTCATGGCCCCTGGGTCAGGGGTTTTGGTGTAAGGGCAGGGCTCTATTGATTACATAGTAAAAATGCATTAATTCTTTGAAAATCTTCTTCTCTGCTCCTGGATATTATATAAACAAACTAAGTGCATGGTTATGATAAGCATTGATGCTTTTCAAAAATTGTGAAATTCATGGCCCCTGGGTGAGGGGTTCTGGTGGTAGGGCAGGGCTCTATTGATTATATAGTGAAAGTGCATTATTTCTTTGAAAATCTTCTTCTCTGCTCCTGGGTATTATTTAAACAAATAAGTGCATAGTTATGATAAGCATTGATGGCTTTTCTAAAATTGTGAATTTCATGGCCCCTGCGTCAGGGGTTCTGGTGGTACAGTAGGGCGGTGCTCTATTGATTATATAGTGAAAATGCATTAATTCTTTGAAAATCTTCTTCTCTACTCCTGGGTATTATTTAAACAAACTAAGTGCATAGTAATGGTGCACAAGGATGCTTTTTCCAAAATTTTGAAATTCATGAACCCCAGGGTAAGGGGTTCTAGTGTTAGGGCGGGGCTATATAGATCATATAGTGAAAGTGCATTATTTCTTTGAAAAATCTTCTTCTCTACTCCTGGGTATTATTGAAACAAATTGAATACATAGTTATGATAAGCAAGGGTGACTCTACCAAAATTGTGAAATTCATGGCCCCAGGGTCAGGGGCTCTGGTGCTAGAGCGGGGCTATATAGATTATATAGTGAAAGTGCATTATTTCTTTGACAATCTTCTCCTCTGCTCCTGGGTATCATTTTAACAAACTAAGTGCATGGTTATGACAAGCAATGATGCCTTTTCCAAAATTGTGAAATTCATGGCCCCTGGGTCAGGGGTTCTGGTGTTAGGGCGGCACTCTATTGATTATATAGTGAAAATTCATTAATTCTTTGAATATCTTCTTCTCTGCTCCTGGGTATTATTTAAACAAACTAAGTGCATGATAATGGTGCAAAAGGATGATTTTTCCAAACTGTGAATTTCATGGCCCCTGGGTCAGGGGTTCTGGTGGTAGGGCAGGGCTCTATTGATTATACATGTATAGTGAAAAAGCATTAATTCTTTGAAAATCTTTTTCTCTGCTCCTGGATATTATATAAACAAACTAATTGCATGGTTATGATAAGCATTGATTCCTTTTCCAAAATTGTGAATTTCATGGCCCCTGGGTCAGGGGTTCTGGTGGTAGGGCAGGGCTCTATTGATTATACATGTATAGTGAAAAAGCATTAATTCTTTGAAAATCTTCTTCTCTGCTCCTGGATATTATATAAACAAACTAAGTGCATGGTTATAATAAGCATTGATTCCTTTTCCAAAATTGTGAATTTCATGGCCCCTGCGTCAGGGGTTCTGGTGGTACAGTAGGGCGGTGCTCTATTGATTATATAGTGAAAATGCATTAATTCTTTGAAAATCTTCTTCTCTGCTCCTGGGTATTATTTAAACAAACTAAGTGCATAGTAATGGTGCACAGGGATGATTTTTCCAAAATTTTGAAATTCATCACCCCAGGGTCAGGGGTTCTGGTGTTAGGGCGGGGCTATATAGATCATATAGTGAAAGTGCATCATTTCTTTGAAAGTCTTCTTCTCTACTCCTGGGAATTATTGAAACAAATTGAATACATAGTTATGATAAGCAAGGATGACTCTACCAAAATTGTGAAATTCATGGCCCCAGGATCAGGGGTTCCGGTGCTAGGGCGGAGTTATATAGATCATACAGTGAAAGTGCATTATTTCTTTGAAAATCTTCTTTTCTACTCCTGGGTATTATTGAAACAAATTGAATACATAGTTATGATAAGCAAGGGTGACTCTACCAAAATTGTGAAATTCATGGCCCCAAGGTCAGGGGTTCTGGTGCTAGGGGGGTGGGCTCTATTGATAATATAGTGAATCTGTAGTAAAAATGCATTATTTCTTTGAAAATCTTCTCTGCACCTGGGCATATCAGACGCAAAAAGAGTAAAAGTTTTAATAAAGATTTTGAACATCTGGACCATTTGGTCAAGTGTTCTGGTTTTGGCCAGGACATAATTTGTATTCAACTGAGAGGAGTTATTCCCCTTTGCCATTTACTTTTGATAATTAATCACTGTAAATAATGTACTTGAAAGGTTAACAGAATAGTAGTATTATGCAAGATTTTTTATTGTATAATACAAAAAGTACTTTTATAGTTTAAATGATCAGGTAGATTTTTAAGTAATAGATAAATAAAAACGAGACAAAAATAACTTGTCTTATTTAATGTTCATCAAAGACCAAGAAGGGTCCAATGTAAGAGATTTCATCAAGGAATTAAAATAGTACAGAATCACTGATAATTTGTTTATATACTGTATAGTGATACTGATAAATGGGGAACAGATTAGAACCTAATTTATGAACTCTTAATGAACACTAGACTAATTATTTTGTTGATCCTGATCGACCTATTTTTCTTGCTTTTGGGCAACAAAGTTTCACCTTTCAGTTCATTTTATACTCTATGGACCCTCTAAATTGTTATATTATACTCAGGTGACCGTTAAAGCCCTTGGGCCTCTTGTTTTTAAATTTTGTTTGTTGATTGATTATGAATTAGAAACAAATATGAAAGTAAACGTCATTTTTTAGTCTTTTATATATTTTGAATGAATAGTTTTCCTGTTTACAGAAATTCAAATTGCAGCCTTTCCTCCATAAACTTGAGACTGACAAAAGCCATCTTTTACACATGTCAACTGATCATGACATACATCCTGATGTTGTGTGTTATGACGATGAATATTTGGATATTGGTAACAATTCTACTGGGAACAGCTGCAGGATATTACTGCAAACGAATATCAAGAAAAAGACCACCGAACGCAGAACTCCAAGTAGGAGTTAATTATCCTGGAATTCAAATCACAAGTGAAACAATCGTAAGAAACAAACATTGCCAACCATTGCTAAATAAAGAAGGAATTAGATTACAATCAGAAGCAGATCCGATGATAGACAAAGAAGAAGGCTGCATTACGCGACTAGCATTTCATTAGAACCTTATAGTCTTGGATGGCTTTTTGAAATTTAGGTGTGACCTACGCCTGTTGATGAGATTTTGGATAATTGTAGAGTTCTGCTGTTTGGCTTCCATACCGGATTTTTATTAGAATAGTATAGTTAAGGAATATGTTTTTGTTTTGAACATTTCCTAAATTAATGATTCAGTTATACATTTGAAAAAAAAAACCAGGAATGTTTTTTTTCTAAAAATATTGTTTCAAACCTAAAGCTTAAATTGATACGTACAGTCACATGATTCAATAAAATATAAGTACTTGATTATGCTCTCGCAGTTAGTATGTGCATCTGTAAAGGGAATCATCCCAGGAGGTTCAAAAGTTATAAATCTACAATTTCTAACAAAATACAATGTGCAATTTTCCAAAAAATTGCTATAAAACTATTTTAAAAGGATATTATGTATAATTATAATTGTGAAGGCAAGAAAAATCAAAGTTGAATGTGACACACAGGTGACAAGGCCCATGAGCCTGTGTTTCTTTGTTTTATATTGCCTGTTTTTATGGAGCTGAAAATAGGTATGAGGTGCTTTAAAAGTTTTATTAAAATGATAACTTTGAAGAAAGAAAATTATAAACACATATCAAATTTAATTTTTTAAATTTTGCTTGCAGATGTTTAGCAAATTTTAAATGACGATGAATTATTGTTCCTACATTCGCTATTGGACAACTTATTTTATGTATTGCAATCTATTTCAATTAACTATAAAACATTATATAAATATCTCTTGTACAGTCCTATTTTAGTATGCCTGTTTAATTGTGTAGTGATGGGTCACTGATAAAATCAAGTTTCGTTCTTCTTTTTTTTTATGTACAACATACCTAATTCCAATTGAATCATGAGCTGCCTTTACTTTAATAAAAAGATATTTTTTAAACTTTGTTGTTATCTGAGCATTTTAGGCGTACCAACTCTATTTTATTAGATAAGAAATTTAAAAAAAATAACTATGGAGGCATAGTCCTGTCACTTGTAAGATAATTATGTCGACTTGTTAGATATTTTTGTTGACTTGTCACATTCACATGTTTCAAAAATTTACATTAGAACATGTCTCTGTTTTGTGCCATCAAGTTTGTGCCAGTTGGCAAAATTTTTCTAACAAGTTGACGTAAAGATTTGACAAGTTAACATAATCAACTGCCAATTCGACATCTCTTTCTAGCAAGTCTTCATAATTCATATTGATCTGATATATCGACATAAATAGCTGACAAGTTGACATATGATAAATCAACATAGTTTTCTGACAAGCTGACATAACATCTGACAAGTCGACACAAACAAGTGCTGGCATAAAAATGTCGCCGTAAGTAACACGCAAACAAAGTTAAAATTAACATTATATGACTATCACTATTTATTACATAAATTAACTGAGTGTTAAGATTTCAACACTCTTAAATGTCTGATAAAATATATTAATATCACATCTGGTTGTGAAGCTATTTTGATGCGACATGATCGACTTTAATTTATTTAAAAAATACCAACGTAATAAGAACCTGCAGATTCTTTTCCTTACAATAAATACTATAGTAAACCATAGTTTACTATAGTGATAACTTTGATACTATGAAAACTATAGCTAACTATAGTGATAACTTTGACACTTTGATTTACTATAGTGAGAACTTTAAAAACTTTGATTTACCATAGAGATTACTATGAAACTTTGATTTACTTTGGTGATAACTTTGACTTACTATAGTGATCACTATGACATTATAGTGATAACATTGAAACTTTGATTTACTATAGCTAACTATAGTAAACTATATAGTTAACTATAGTTTACCATAGTACTTTTTGTTAGGGTTTATTGTTCGTACATTGCTATTTGAACGATTTTAATGTTATGATACATATCTGTGTCATTTGTTTCCATTTTTTTCCTCGATCCAACAACAGTTAAATTTCCTTTTTTCTCTTGTGAATCGGTGAATGAAGCCTGAGAAACCAATATTTATTCCCTAATATTCAATAGTCAAAAGGATATTTCATAAGTGATTGTATGAATTGATTAATGTTATTTGCTGCACTGAGATATTGATTACAATTACACATTTGTAAATCAATCTATACATTGAAAAATATAAAACAAAGAAAAGGACCCATTATTATGATGTGAGATTACAAGTGCACACGTTCGTTTTCCTGTAGAGGATGTTGTCGTGAATCTGCGCTTTATTAACCCTTATGTAGAAAATGAAACAAAATACCATTTGTTTAAAGGGTGAAGTTTTCAAGGGAGGATTGTTCAAGTATGGCGTATCAATCTGTATAACAAGCAAAAGAAAAGTAAGTTGATTATGTTTTATGATTATGTTAAAAACATATCTGGTATAATTGTTTTAGGCTTAAAAACCTATTTTTGAGATAAATATGAAAATAACAGGAAATAAAATTTGTTTATATATTGTAATATTCCGTAGATAAAAGAATAGAATAGAATTTGTTTCCAAATTAGGGCCTCGTGGTTCATGACATATAAATGATTACAGATAAATGCACATAATACAGTTAAGTACAATGTAACTTGGGTCATTGTTAGTTTGTTTAATAGCATGATGACTAGATACAATATAACTTAGAAAATCATCTCATTGTCCAGTTTGTATGAAAATATAATGGTAACAAGACTAGATACAATGCAACATAGAAAATCAGCTCATTGCTCAGTTTGTATAACAATATCATAGTATGATAACTAGATATAAAACTTGAAATGATAATGCAAGAAAGGTTAGTTAACATAATAGATTTTAAAAGTTACCATTCATGCAACATAGTGAATGTAACATTATGAGTAGAAAATCTATAAGTTAAATCAGGGGTGTGTAGTATAGTACAAAGATCCTTGATTATGTGTTATTACTAAAGATGGCAAGAAGCACAAGAGACAAAATCATATTAATTATGCTCATTGTTGCTCAAAGAAAATTGTACGAGCACATCTATATGTGTAAAGATAATGGTAAAGAAACAAAATTAAAAAAAATAGATAAGTAAATGCTTAGTTAGGCATACAAAGAAAAACATGCAGCAAGAAGTAATGAGGTGTTCAACATTAATTAATCCACTTTTACTTGGAGTAATATTGCATGTTACATATATATGTTGCACACATACAATAACGTAATAATGAATATCATACACTGCTAAGAAATACAAAATATTGTATGAGCTCATGTCTTGAGTAAGATGCACATGTGTATGGATTAACAGCAAAGAGCAACGAGAGAAGATGCTACATGATATATCAAATCCACTCTTGTCTAGTGCAATTAATACATATAAATGTATAAAATCCTATAAGAAAATATTATAATAAATGATTCTGTACATAAAAATCCAATATCTTGAATATGCAATATTTGTAAAAATAAGAAAAAATAATGCATCTATACTTCATAAACCCAGCGTCTGTCATAGTAAGGCAAGAATATCATAGTCTTGACAATTCAAATGCTAAACAAATTATATAGTGTTAAATCATTAAATTATCGGCAACTGCTCTGTATTGGCAAAAAAGTAACTTTCTCATGGGTGCATTCTTTGGAAATTAAGATTAAAGAGAGAATATATTTCATCCTCAACCATATTGAATGAACACTTCATACAAGTTTTCGCAGTCCGAAACAAACCTAAGTATCTGCTTGTTTCATTTCTAAGTTACGTGCAGAAATTCCAAATTTAGTGTCTTTCTCTGATAAAATTTGCTCAAAATTGTCAAATAGTTTTCAAAATCAAAGTATTGCTTATTTTACCGTATTCATCAAGACTTAAGTTGAAGTTATAAAATACTGTATACAGGAAAATTTATGCCCCCGTTTTACTTTTGCCTCTTTCGCCCTACTCACAGGTGGGCTAATTTAAAACGGGGCGAATAAAAAAACCCACACAGTACAATTTTTTAAACAAAATTGTGACTGGGCGAATTTAAACGGGGCAAAATTGTTTGCAAGTGTTAAAGGGCGAAAATAAGACTGTATACAGTATCTCTTTTTGTACCATTCTCAAAAATATGAATCTGCTAAAATTTCTTGCTCTGTGACTTAAAATTAAATATAGAGAGTGCTGAGTTTCTTAATTTTGGAAAGTATTTCAGTAACATGTTTATGCTTGCAGACCAAGATATATTTTTTTAAATTCAATTTATCTGCATTGTATGCTGCTTGCAAAAGGGGAAATAACTGAGCTAGATTTTCTAGTCGACGTCAATATTTAAACAGTATGATATATTTAAACGAAGGGAAAATCTTCCCAATTCAGCAAGAGCAAGAACTGCAAATTTAGAACTCTCTTATGAACTCTGAGAATATATCACATTAATATGTAGTTTTTCACACAAAGCTTTAGAATGTATTCCACCTAGATCGGTTGAATTATTACGGAAACGTGCTGATTGAGTATTAAATGGACCCCAAATTTCACAACCATATAGAAGAATAATTTAAATGGTATGATCAAAAACATGAGTAATATTTTTCACACGAAATAAAATTAAAAACACAAAATAACCTTCTAAAGTTGGAAGTAAGCTTTTAGTGATTTTTAATTTTTTTTAAACCTTTATTCCAACGTTATTTTTATAAACTTTGTAGAAATAATATTATCTTGTACAGAATTTTTTGAATCAAAAATATTTCGATACTGAATAATAATATTTTATTGTTGATTAAAAATAACTTTCTTAACATTGGCGGATCGAATTATCGTGAAACTGCAAAAAAGTTTAATATTTTGGCGTTTTTCACGATAATTGATTATATGTTGTTTAACGTCTCATTCAAGAATTTTTCACTCATATAGAGACCTCACCGTATGCCGGTGAAGGGCTTCAAATTTAGACCTATACTCGACACTCAGGGCCATTGTGAGGGTTTTTTATCGTGCCAATGCTTACTGTGACACGAGACCTCGGTTTTTAAGGTCTCACCCGAAAGACGTGGTGATCTAGAATTAAACCCAGGCCTCCCGATCACGAAGCGAGCGCCCTTACACTAGGCTACCGTGACCAGTTTCTTTTTTTCACGATGAAGTACAAGTATATTGTATTTCATGTTATACATGTCTATGCTTGACTTTCATGCTGCTTTTTTTTAAAATTTAAATTCAGGATTATACATGTAACGAGTTCAATAAAATAATACCTTCTTCTTTGTAAAATCTCGGAGGCCTTTGGGATTTTGGGGGTTTGATTTTGGAGACTTTTGTGGTGGGGATTTTTGGGTAGGACCTTGGAGGCTTTTATGGTGAGGATTTTTTATTTGGTTAACAGGTGAATCATGAGGAACAATCTTTTGTAATAAACATTTATTCTGTATCAAGACATGTATTCAGTGACTGGGATGACAATTCTTTTTAACATTTTAGGATGCACGGTTACTGGACAACGTCGACGAAGCTCCATTTTTTGCACGATGCGTGGCATCTGGGAACCGAAACAGGTAACTAAATTTCTATTTTTAAGGACTATGTTTTCATAGAGTGCTCAATGTTTCAATGAAATTTAGACATAATGGCTTTGATATCTTGAAAATGTGCCATGAATATCGGACTTTGTAAAAATAATATTTCAGAGAGTTCTTTCTCGTATTTTTCTTTGATATGTGAAATTATTTGTAATCTTATACAAATTATAATCATTAAAGTTAAAAAATATTCTTATAAACTTAAAGAAAAAACGTTTTATAGAATCTGGAGAATACTATTTATAGATTTTCTTACTATTTTCAGGAATAGCAATTGCCATGGCTATAAGTGCAATTCTATCTTTTGTATACGAGTTCCTTGACCTAATTTATTACAGAATTATTACCACGATGAGACAAACAGAAAACAATTTTCAGCAGTAAGCTTTTATTAAACGTGTTTTACATTTTGATTCAATTTCTGAAGAGCAATATGCTAATATAAGGGACACTATGTTTGAAAAGTTGATTGCATTTAAATATACCTTATTAGGTCACCTGATTCACTCAGGTGACCTATTGCTATCTGTTTCCGCCCGTCATCATGAGTCGTGCGACTTATGCTAACATTTGAAAAATTTCAGCTTCTTCTATGGAACTGCTGAACCTATTTCACACATTTTTGGTATACATCATCTATGGGCAAAAGGGTACAAGATTGGTCTCTGTCTCCCCCCCCCCCTCCCCGGGGCTGAGGGATGGGACCAATACCATCAAAATTACAAAATCAATGCTATCTTCAAAAATACCATTCTTCACTCCTGGACATCAAGCAGTCAAACTTTTTGCATTGTTATAAAAAGCATTGAGCCCTCTACCAAAAAAATTCATGGCCCCAGGGTCAGGTGTCAGGGTCTTGTGTTATGGTTGGGCTCTATGGATCATATAGTGAATATGCATAAGTTCTTTAAAATCTTCTCCTCTCTAGTTTATTTAGCAAGGGTTACCTCTTCCAAAATTGAGAAATTCATGGCCCTTGTGTCAGGGGTTTTGGTGCTGGGACCAAAAGTCCTAGTCCTATATGCTAGGGTTCTAGTGAAAATGCATTCTTTCTTTGAAAATCTTCTATGCTCCTGAGAATTAAGCAAACAAACTAGGTACATGGTTATGATGAGCATGGCGGTCTGTTCCAAAAATGTGAAAATCATGGTCCCTGAGTCAGAGGTTTGTAGTTAGGGCAAGGCTCAATAAATCACATTGAAAAATACATGAATTATTCGAAAATCTTCTTCGCTTCTCTTTGATATTTAGCAAACATTCTATCATGATTAAAGGTGCCTCTTCTAAACCTTTGCAATTTACTGCCCTTGAGTCAGGGGTTCTGCTGCTAGGGTGGGGCTCTATTGATTAAATGCTCCAAATCATATCTGCTCCTAGCCATCTAAGAGATAAACAAAGTTCAAAGTCTTAATGGGCAAGGGTGTTTTACCAAATTTGTGGAATTTTCGGTCACTTGGCAGTTCTATTGATCATAAAGAGAAATGTGTTCTCTACTTCAGGAGACGTTATTCCCCTTTTCTTTTCAAGTACGATAATTAAACGCTGTAAATAATGTAATTGATAGGACAATTGGAGAAAAGACTTATACAAGACTTTTTTGATAGATAACACAAAATAAGCTTTTTAAATAAAATAAGAAATAAGAAAAATAAGAATAAGAAATAAGAAAAAATACTTTATATATGTACGTTAAACGTTATTCAAACACCAAGAGAGGCAAATGTTAAAGGGATTGTGCTGAGTTTACTATGTTTAAACTATTGTATATAGTTTGGTGATGGAAAAATTGCACTGGCACTCACAGGCAAGCATACGTAAATAGATCTACTTTGAGTTTTTGCTGAGTACCAGTATATCTATTTTACTTCTATTGTTTTTGGGCAGCGAATCTTTATCCTTCAGTTAATTACATGTATTTAGTAAATTGTCATTCTATGGATCCTTTACAGGGTTGTATTATACTCAGGGGACCTTTAAGACCCTCGGGTCTTTTGTTAAAATTGAAAAAAAAACTTATTTGTCCACCATTTCTAGTCAAAATAACGCAATTATGCTATTCTTTGGACAGATCTACGGCATGCAACCCTATTGTTCTCCCTAGGCGTTGCATTGGATCGCTTTTGTACATAATAAGGGTTATCAATGGGTACATCCTGATGTTGTGTGTTATGACGATGAATGTATGGATATTCGTGTCTGTTTTGGTGGGAACCATGCTAGGCTTTTTTATCAAATACTACTTCAGAGGAAAAATTTCTTCCAAATCAAAAGAAGAAGCTAAAATCAAAGAAGCACAACCCGAGCAGAGACCAAACTGCCACAATACATCAAACGAAGCAGAAACTCTGCTTCTACAAAACATTCCATGTGGTGGATCCAAGTCTAAGAAAAATAAGACTGGTCATAAAATTTCACAAGTTTAAGAAGAAATAGGGAAAATTACAACTTTCTTTTGTCTTGTATCTATTTTGCTAAACGTGTATTTCCTAATGTTTTGGATATATCATATGTACAGAGGCAACATGAGCTGCTTTTTCGGAGTCGGAAACTTTTACTGTAAAATTATAATTCACTTAATTACTAACAGAAAAAAAAAACCAAGTCCAAAGACTTAATTCTGTTAATATTTGTGTGGAATAATATTTAGAAGCCCTGATTGTTGCAAAATTACAAAAATCAATTTCTTATATAAAACTATTTTACATTCCATACTATAGAAATCTTCCTTCTGACAAAATCTAACGCTTAGTTTAAGCTTATTTATCATTAAGGTTTAAGTATTAGTCAGAATTGTAATAGTAGCACATTTATATATCAAAGTAAATTTCTTAAAAGTACAGCTCATATTGTTTTAAGTAAAGAGCTCAAAGCATCTGTTATTATAATTAATAACATGATGGTACGTAAATGTTCTTTAATATATGTAACTTGCTCTTTTGTGAATATAAAACAATTCTGCTCATTATCTGTCTATTCTTTAAAAGTTACTTTCTATAATTACTATGAAATGTTCTTTTTGTGAAGGAAATTTTTCAAAAGTTTACGTGTAGCATATCTGCTAAGAGCGCAACTTGTACTTTTACTTGGAATATACCGAATATTTCACATTTCTTGGCTATTCATTAGCAAACATCATTAGCAAAAAGTTTAAGCAGTGAGGATAAAAGGGCGGCAATAATTTGATATTTATTTGAATGGTACTTGCTTTCCTTGATATGTCTTACTCTAGGCATTATTGATCAATAGATACTGGAAAACTACTTTGTGAGAATGTGCATGGTTAAAAAATATCTTAAATTCTTCATAGTGCAGATTTTTCTGCTGATCAAATTCCACTGTTTAGATAACTATACATAATCATGTATACTGAGTATATCTAGTATAATGAAAATAAAATCTTTTCAACGACTAATTCCAGTCAGCTTTTTGTCCTTACTGAAAAGCAATACTGCATGCACAATAAAAACTAAAAATTAATCATTTCAAAACGAAATGAATGCATCTGGGACGCAACATAGAGCTTATCCAATGTTACTACATGTATCTGCCATTCACCAATAGCCGCCTAATTTGGAAAATAATCTATCAAACTGAAATTGTGAAGGACAATAAAGAAAATACTTTTTGAAATATTCAATGGGTTTTTTAATATATTCGATCAGTGCATATTATCTATTCAAGATATATTACTAAAGTCAGGTACTCTTCACACAATTGTTCCGAAGAAAATAGTTCCATTCATGATCAGTAGATAAAACATTACAACAAATATTAAGAATAATCATGTATATTTAATACGTTAAAGAAAACAAAATTAACGTTAAAAGATTTTAAGAAAATCACTTTTTCCCCAGAAAAGCAAATAAAAAGTTTTCATATTCCTACGCTCGCTGCCTCCTCAGTCTTTTTCACGAAAATATATAGGTCACACTTCGATTGATAATGATAAATCTTTTCACCAATTATATTACTGTCATGATTATTGTTCGTTAATTGCCGTATATTTTCTTTTGAGTTAGAATGTTAATCATTAACTGTGTGTGTGTGTTTTTTCTCTCTTTTTTAAATTACGGAATGGTTATTATGGTTAAACACTTCTCGGCAAAGCAACGTGATTTTCCGAGCTCGGAAAGATCTTCGCACGTATGTAGACCTAGGCTATTTGGTCTTGCAAGAACAGGTGTGTGCACCGTTCCCTAGTGACGCTTAGATTAGGAGACTGGGTATCAGTACTTGCTACGGACATAAAGAAGTTTAGAACTATACACCAGTTTCATAACAAGTGCAGGTTTTTTACTCAAGGTGAAGCCTTATACTGGGCTAGAGGGGCTGAGTTATGGTCATCGATCTAACACGAAAATGTACTATTTTTGTAAATAAAAACATTTCTAGAAACAAAAATAAAATGAAGTTTATCTTCAAAACGTCTGTATATTCAAAATCAGTATATGGTGGAGGAATATTCAGTGATGCTCCATAGCCGCAACCGATCTCGCGCTTTCCTTTGCGTTTAACAACGGCCGTCAATGCATCACTGGACGAGTTCATTAATTACTCTAAAAGGTGACAGGTTGGACCATCTTTAACATCTACCTATACTTTGAGTGATAGTACTTTTTAATAGCACAAAATTAAAAAATAAATTAAAATATATCCTTGATAGATCTAAAGTTTTGCTATTTATGAAAATGGGCTATCTTTGATAATCCATAACGGCTTGGACTTGTTTTGAATTTTTTTTTTACAGAAGATTCTATCATTGGAAAGTTAGATGGTACACATGTAGCACAGGCCCATAGTACGCGGGATTTTTTGGGAGTCCCCCCCCCCCTTTCACTTTGAAAACGTTGCTATAGGCCTGTAACATGCTATTTGGATTAAATATTCCTGAAAATGAGTGAGGCGTTAAATACATTTTTAAAATTATACGATTAATTATATTTAGTTTATGTTCTATGTGAAATTAAAACTATTTTTATGCATGTGCAACTTTGTGATAAAGTCACTACATGCATGTAACGTTATATAGGCCCCTATGTACATGCAGTTTGTTTCCTACTATATGCATATTTTATTCAACATAAGATGTTGAAACTCAGTAGCCTAAATACTATCAGATTATGTCATTTTAGGATATTTATGTATAAGGCACTTTTATAGTTGACTTTCTACAGCTTGAGTATCTCTGACGTTTTGTCAGTAATACTTGTTTTTTTATCAGAAATCATCTGAACACAATGAAAATTCGAATAAATTAAAAGTCGAATATCTTGGATATGGGGTAACCCATATCTATTCTTGTTTAAGAGTGCATTCTGTATGTATGGTAAGAGACAACAGGACAATGGTTTACACATTTTCATCAATATATCACTTAAGAATTGGGTTTGTCATCATCATCTAGAGTCTTCTGGTTCAGAAACATGAATATCCTTGATATCATAATGCTCAATGCTCTCTACAATTTTTGTTATGGATATATATGTCACCATAAAGTCCTTCTCCTCTGTTTCTTACAAATACATGCTCGCTCATCAGATAAAATTAAACGACATTAGAGCTATATGTGTACTTTAGCTAAAGTGTCATTAGGCATTTATAATTGAAAAACTTAAAGGCACCTTCTTGCCATAGTTCACGACATTCTCTGAACTATGCACCTGGATATAGGATTGTAGACTTAACTGTACAACATTAACAGAAAATCATTTACCACGTAATGTGTTGCATCTGATTTCAGAGTTTGGTAAGTACTGGTAAAACATGAATCCTTAAAGTGTATGATTTTTTTAATTATACAAGAGGAATTGGTTGTTATCATAAAAGAAACTGCCAAAAGGACATTACATTGTTTTCTTCCTTCTTTCTTTTTGGTCGACATTTATTTCGATTACCCTCTTTCTTTCTGGAATGACAATAGTGGTAATGACTGGCGCATGCAACTTTATCCATAATCGCATTTGAATTCATCGACTCAATTTGCTAGAGTTACTGAATTATTTTTTAGAGAATGTTTTCTTTATTATGGATGTTTTCTCGACATTCCAGAAGGACATTCATACAAAAATATTTGACAAGAACAATACCACAACAGATATTAAGTCAAATGATTCAATGAGTTTGTCTGAAATTGTGAATCTAATTTGACGTTAAAAACTTTAATGGCATCATAAAAACTGTTGTTTTACCGTTTCTGCCACTACTGATTTAGTCACAAATCTGTGTGAACATGTCACCTCTCTGTATATTCCACAACAAATACATAGTCAAATGATTTGAAGACTTTCTCCGAAAAAGTGTGAAACTACAGATGTAGCTTTGACGAAAAAACTGTCATCATTGCATTGTTTTTACCGTTTCTGTCACTACTGATTTAGTCACAGATCTGTGGATTACCTTTCGGTATATCCCATCCGAAATCTTCTGCACATCGTCTGGGTAACCAATTTGTATATTCTAATACTTAATGTAATATTCACAACATACAGATTCTGAGTGATATCAGTTTGGAAGAAGCTACCAGAATACTGGGTTTTATGTCAGATTATTTTCAAATTAAAAAGTTAATCTTGGTGCATAATAGAAGTTAAAAACAAGATCAACAATGCAAGCGCCATGCCAATTTTTCAAAAATTCAAAAACGAACAAAAATACAAAAGCTTTGTTCATTATATGGACAAATAATTTTGACCAATCATTTTAATCATTAAAACAACCGTTACAACATACATGTAATTAAAGTCTCTTTTTCGTTAGGAAAACAAGGATAGGAGATCTCATGCCTGAAAAAAGATAAAATAAGTATTATAATGATTAATCTATGAAAAATAAATAGTTTTGATTTTGTTAACTTTATCAATTTAGTGGTAACGTTGCATTTTTCTGTTTAACAATAATTGTACACTGGGTCATAGATAAAAGAATGCCTAGTCATGCAGAAACATCAAATTTCATAATAAAACAAAGAAATGAAGATTTTATTTAAATGCATTTTTATATCTAATAAACATTTCAAAAGAAAGTTAAAGAAGAAATGTACGAGCAAATGCTTTACCACAATTGGTTAATTTTGTTATAAATTAAAAAGAATGCGTCTGTACAAACCGGTTCGTATTGCAGTGAAAATCCTCTTCTCTGTAATAAACCATTGGAACGGAAAACAACCTTGACAGTGTCATTAAATTTCAGCGCATGCGCACTTCCAGGTATATGTGTAACATCACAATACTTCTGTGAATTAATTTCCAAGAAATCATTTTCACAATTTAGTGACGATTCCAAGTCCAAAGTCGAAATACTCAATCGGAAGTGTTGTCTTTGAAATGTAGTAAAATACCATTCACAGACTACATCAGGTTGATAGATACCAAATGATGGTGGATTGTGAATCCTGCCTGGATGATCCACCGTCACATTATGACCGCAATCTAAATATTTATTTCAATTTCATATTGAGCACTACAAAAAGTGACAGATACCAAGGATTCACTGAACAAATCAAAAAATAGCTGTGAGTTTTGCAAATTCCTATGTTTAAATTTCAAAAGTAAATATTTTGTTTTTGATATTAATTGTTATGAACGCCTCCTATAATGCTTTACTTTATCATAATGTCAAAAACACTCAATGATGACATTCAGTTACATATCAATTAAAAAGAAAAAAATTAGTTTCTTAAAAAATAAGGATTTTTCAGTCTGCTATTTCTCCAATTCTGTTTAATTTGATAAATTATATTAAAGTAATTTTTCAAAAGTAAAAATAAGCTACATTTCACAATACTGCGTGAAAATATTAAACAATGGAAACCAAAGCCGGCCACATTTAGCAGGAAAGAAATGATTAAGGAAATGGTAAAACACTGCTTTATACACATACCAGATCTTAGAGTGAGCTTCAGAGGTCTTCCTTCCTCTTCTTCTATGAGGGTCGATAACTCCAGTTCATACTGTCTACCTATATTGCGACCTGTGGGAAATATGAACTTGCCTACACTGGGTCCTAACTTGAGTACTTCTTGATCCATGTCTGGTAGTACTCTGTATTTGAAGACGGAATTGTATGACGAGTTCTTTGAATTTTCTGGGGAGTCCCAGGCCAATCCTATCAATCCCGCCGAATTAATCACTTGTTTTATTGAAGGTGCTGTATCTACAAATAAACAACAACAAATCTTATTCAGGGGATATTTCCATGTGGAAAAGGTACAATGTGAACAATTAATGAATCCACACTTTCGCAGAAATTCATTTTAATATACAAGTATTAATTAATTTATGAATTGCTCTAAAATTTGCTGACCTATAGCTGCAATGGATATATTAAATCCGCCATGTTTATTAGCACTTCCAAAAGAGGACCTGAAAATTATCTTGGCATCTCTTTCTTTTGTTATGTAATATCCGCCAGGTGGAGGCTTTTTGCAGAAACGGTCATCGTTTATCATGACGTATTCTTCCGTACATGCTGACGTGTTATCTGACAAATTTATAGCATCGAAATGTATTTTCAACCTTTGACCCACTGATGCCCTAACATTCCACTGACAAGCGACATCGGGTTCGTAATACTCATTCAGGAAATATGGCGAGTGAAGGGAACTAATGGTTCCATTTGGAGGGAGAACAATATCGTACCCACATGCTGAAATAAAACAGAGAATAATTATTTATAGTAAAATTTTCTGCTATTTATTTTAAGAATTATTTATTTTGTACTTAATATGCTAGTGGAAACTTACCGGAAATTGCGGATATCGGGGCCGAGGTTTCTCCTCTTCCGTTCTGTGACAAAGCTGTCACAGTCATTTCATATCGGCCACCGGGGTGATTTGCTGTGTAGATATAGTGTGTTTGACGATTCGGAGCAATTGTAATTGTTGAATGTTGCAGACTGTTCCTTATCGTCAATAGATAGCCCTTTAGGAACATTGAGTTCGTATACAGTTATTCATTTATGTTACAACAAAATATAATTATGTACATTTTTATGTGTAAGCAAAGCACATATTCTTTGTTGTTTAAAATGATATAATGTCTAAGTTTAAATTATGATATATGAGCAAGATGCGTAAGGGACAAGTTTGGTAACAGCCAAATTTAGTCCCCATTAGATACAGAAATAAAAAAGCAATTAAAATTGTAATATTTTGCAATTAAGGTATGTCATTCGTCAGATTTTGAGAAAAGTTTGGTCAGAACCTCTTAACTTTTAAACCGTAAATCACAATTCAATCTTTAAAACATATTTCAATTAAACAATGCAAATTATACAATATTAAATTTAAAAACTACTCACAAAATCATAAAGAAATGAAGAAACAAGATTTATAGGGCACTATTTCTTGTGGTGGAAGGATATTTGGAAGAAAATTCTTCAAATCTACACATTTGCTAAGATTAATATCTGGGAACTTTAATCCTTTTTTTTACTCGGAATTTTTTTTGCTTGCGTTATTATATGCTAAGAATATTAAAAATAGGATTCAATTAATGTTTTAAGAACAAATTTTACACATTCACTCAACAGACTTTGCCAAGAAATGAAGATATATTGAAGAAGTTATCATAAAATTTACATGGTTTTTGGCTGAAAGTCACATATTTTGACCAATTTCTCAAAATTTACATCACTGACCCCAACTTTTTCTGTCATTATTTTAAACTATAGGATACTTCCAACCGATCAGCACTAAAGTTTTAGAAAGCTTGATACAAGAAAATATTTAATTGCCTTATAAGATTTTGAATACCCCAAAACGATACACAATAATTTACGCGCATTAATTTTCAGGGTTTTTTTTCAATAATAAATACGATTCAAACTATTTTACATAAAAAATAAGATTTTATCTATTGTGTTAATTATATCTGGTAAAATATGATAAAGTTAAAGTGATTGACTTAAAAGTTAAAAATTTAATTGCAAAAAAAGGATCAAGCTAATTGTACTGTTGCTCAGTAAAACGCACACTGACCCCCAGTTTTCTCAGCAATTTTGAGTCATGCTAAATAAGTGGTATTCTAAAATATAATTGTCAAAAAATCCTTGATATAATTCATTTCAGGAGTGACATACCTTGAGAGCTTTAAATGATGCTTGTTTCAAGTCAACAATTATTTTGATACAAAGCGTAAATGGAGGCCACAAGAAGTGACAAATTAAATAATTTTACCAAACCCTCTATTCTGATGAAATTTCGTCACCTGAAATACTTTAATTTCATTTCGGAAAACAGAGAGCAGAAACTTGCATGTCTGTGATTTTGATAGACAAGATGTATTTGATACAAGTGCATAAAATATGTGAATATAATAAATATGTAAATTTAGTAGATCAATAGACAACCATGTAATCTGTATCTCCTGACGCAAATGTCTCTTAAAATTGAAGATACAGTAATTTGAATACAAAACATGTAAAATTCAGAAATTAAAACATTTTGTGACTTTCTGACGGGATTTGTGTATGGTATCAATTAAAATCAATACTCATTTTGATACAGGGATGGCAACAAGATTTTTGAAAATGAACTATTGCATTGCTCTAAGAGACACCCCAATACATAGGCCTAAAAGGAGTCTTTAGTTAACCAATCTTGTCCTTGGGGAAAGTTATATATATAATGAAACATGCTGTTAAACAAATTACATGTACTTACGCTTAAAGGAACACTTGTACACGGAGGTGACCAGAACACTCTTAGTGTGTTCTCGATTAAAACAACCTGAAAATCTTGAACCTTTCCTGGTATACCACTTGGAACTACAATATCAACAAACTGAACATCAACAACTTTAAAATATATCAATATAAAGGCATTATTATACAAAAACACATATAGATTAACGCCATAGAATTGAAAATCGTTTACTAGATAATAAACAGGAAGTCCAAGTAAAAAAATTAAATGAATCTGACGGAACAAATATGTACCTCATAACTTACGTTTTGATTCTTCAGGACAAGGCTTTTTTGTTGTAGTTACTGGTGTTGTTGATGTAAATTCTTGTGTTGTAGTTGGTAACGTACTAATCAATGTTGATGACGTTGAAATGGAAGATGGGCTTGTCGTTACCTGAGAATGTGTCACATGATCGGAAGTTGTTGCTTCTTCAGTAGTACTGGTAGTAGAAGTAGTTTGATCTGGTTGTTTCCATTCTGGCAAGGGCGGATCCCCTATGGATGATTCAGGTATTTAATGACCCTTGAGTAATCCAGTATAATATTTTTTTGCAGATTAGTAACGTTCTTACCATTCTCACATCCATACAACTTCTTGATCTTCCAGATGTCCATTTCACTAAATCCAGATCGCTGACCCATAGTTCCGCGAGTGTTAAATTTTGCCACTAATGTCGGGCTTCCATTTTTAGAAAAGGTCGTTGCACCATAATGCATAATACTGCCATAGTCATAAATGGTTCCAAAGGTATCCATTATGTTCTTTTGCTGTTTGGTAAAATCTCTAGTTTTACCTTCAGATATAGACATTTTACGTCAAAGAATGTTAAATATTAAGTTCATAAATTTTCTTGCCCAAACGGATTTTAATGGATTTATCTTCAAGACTAGGGACACTTTTGTGAAATTTATGCAACCTAATTTTTAACTGTTTAATAGCATAGGAACTATATACCATCTTGCACATTCTCCCAGTTGACTAGAATATAATCGTCACGATCATATCGACTTTGTTCGTGGAAGAATCCAGCAGCATGGTTCATCTCGTGCAGAATAACGCCTTTGTAGTAGCAGGTCGAACCAAGAACGAGGTTCTGAGGACCAGTGTCCCGACCAATAGACGAATAGCATCTGGAAGTTAAATGGTAAAAGATTCTTGTCAAATGACGTAAGTGCCAGACAACTGAAGAAGAAAATTTGCATTTGAGCTCTTTTCTTCATAAATTGTGATTTATGTTCTTTTTTTCTTTGAGAAATCACAGGATATTGTACAAAATAATTGTTGATCCTAAATAAACTTTACGCGATTTGGTAAAACTGAAGTGTTTTTCCGGCAAAAGTAAAATTCTAATAAATCAAAAAAAAAAAAAAAAAAAAAAAAAAAAAAAAAAAAAAAAAAACCAAAATAAAAACAAACAAACAAACAAACAAACAAACGCCTTTGTACTTTTGAAAACAAATACAAGGGCTTCTGTCTCAACCAAAAAACGATTACAATTAGTAAAAATTTACAATTTTAGCTGAGGACACATAATTACCCTGCTCCATCCCTGATGACGACATAGTCCTCCTCATTGGTCCTCGGTCTCCACTTTAAACAAGACTGGTCATTGTTGTACTGGTCTATTGCCGACTGAATAACACTGAGACCATAGTTACCTAAAATTATCAAGAACCTTTACATGATTTGATGTAAATGTAACGTCCATAGAATTAAGGGTGCACTTCTTTTTTAAAGAAATGGAATTTAATATTGTGAAAAATTCTCTTTTTTTCTTTTTATGAATGCTTATATAAACTTACAGCAATGTTTGAGTAAGACAATAAGGTATGAAATTTTGAATTATTGTACACATTCCTTGGCAATCTGTTCAGGTTATACGTACTGATTCCATTCTTTTCAATAGTGTATGGAATCACGTTATTTTTCCATTTCCATAAACTGACACGAATAGCGTTCCTTTTCTCTCTCTGAATAAAGCAAAGAACAACAACTTTTTATTGATATCTAATCAGTGTATGGTATCATATAGACTTAGTTTAATAATGCTTCAAAAGTCTTTATGAAAACATAAAAAATTTGAAGTAGTCTATTGCTACATGAAGTACTTTTAAAATGCAGTAAAGGTGGAAGGTCAAACCTGATTTTATTATTACCTGTAGGTTACATTTAGCAGAAAATTCAATAAATATAATTCTAAATTGACTGAATAAATGTAGAACCTCTTGACATATTAACAATTTATCAAGAGTAATGAATCATTTTAGTTTTTACATGCGTTACCGATGTTAGATAATGAACCTGTTTACATACCGACGGTTAAGAACTTTTCACAGTAGAGAAATTAACACTGTTTACATACGTATACCGATGGCTGTCCAACAATGTCTCCTTCGAGCAGATTCTCCAATATTCCTGATTCTATGTACAAATTCTATTGTTATACTTTCATGTTTAATAGTCAAATTTGATTGGTTTCAAAACATTTGTTAAAAAGTACTTATACCCTACCGCGTGCATAAATCACGCCCTCCGGGTAACATTACATAGTAACGGTTGAAAATGCACGACGACGGGTAACAGTATATTATTTAATGTTAACAGAATGTTTGCACTTACTTTTTCTTTTCAATGCATTCTAAATACATTCAGTATAACAAAAAATATTACATATATTATATGGGATAACGTGAAATTGTTATTCCTTGAAAAGGGATAACATGTGAAATTGTTGTCCCTTGAAAACCATTGCTGACCTCGGTCCCGCCTCGGTCAACAATGGTTTTCGCAGGATAATAATTTCACGTTACCCTAATAAACATGTAATATTTTTATAATTTATTCACAATCAATGAAAACTGATCGTAAATTCAACTGTTTTCACTTGTAATATCAATGATGAATTGCTCAATCAGTCTTCTTGCTTGTCTCTAATGAATGAATACCCCCATGTTATAATAGTTACTGCTCCAAGATTTTATCTACCATCATTTCGAGATTCATTGCATATTCGAGAAAAATTTCATATTTTCTTTATCCTTGAAAGAAACACAAATGCTTCTTTTGAAGTTAATTCTCCAAAAACCTCCACTTACTTAAAAATCGAAGAAAAAAATTAGAATTTTTTAAGCCAGTTGATTTTTATTTACTATGAAAAGAAATAATTGTAAAACCTAGCTTTGTCTTACCCCTGTTTGCCTTTACTATGATGTCCATAACACTATAGTCCAGTGGTGATATTTTTTCTTTGTTGTCGACCCGAGGAACTGAATGTTAAATAAAAAAAAACTTTTGCGATATTGGAAGAGTTTTTATATTCGTTCACAATTTAGGCTTTCTAAATATCTTCGATCAATCTGATTTAAGCTATGGTTATTAAAAAAGAATATATTAGTAATTCCCAGTTTCCAGTATCAAGTCTCTGGTAAGTAAATGTTTAATTTACAGGAATAACGGATAAATTGCAACTGTAATAAGATTTGTTTATTTACACTGTATTTGTTTACTAAATCAAATGTTTATTTCATCTTTTCTGTCATCCGCCGATTTAATGAAGGCGTTAATTTATGAATCAAAATATTTCCTAGCGTGTGTGAGTGCTAAAAGAATCCATTGTAATTCTGCTCTTGAAAATATTTTGATTTTTGTCTATAATGCAATGGATAAAAAAAATCCTAGCAAGAGATTCGTGTAGTCATAGAAAAAGACAATACAGTGTTTTAATGGAACAAAACATACCATAGCTAGCCCTTGATATGACCTACAAGCAAAGATGTGATACTCTTAAAATTACATGAAAATAATTCTACAATTTAATGGGTCTTTATTGTTTCAAGAAATATACGAGGAATCAAAAGATGCTATATTTTGTCTAAATCGTGACTAAAAGAAGAATAGTTTGAAATAGAAATGTCATACACAACTCCTTAAAATTTCATTAATTTGTTATATATATGTAATAATATATATATAACCTAACAAGAGAAACAAAAATTCAGTTTAAGGAAATAAAAAAAAAATATAACATTACTTACGTTTGTAACACAACAAAGAAAACACACCACAATATAAAACATTTTGCAACCTTCGACTTCGCACGAAATGTGAACTTTTAATCAACATTTTAAACCTCATGTTAAGTGCTTGTTTATAAATGGTTTAATGAAACATCCGTAACAATTTCTTTCTTATTTAGGGTAATTGGAGATAAAAACCTCCACTACATGAGAATTTTAGTCGGTGGGCAGGCCCTAAACGTTTCAAATTATCCTGTATCATGCTTTTCAGTCCTTTACGTAGGAAGTACTCGTACATTGTAATCATGGAATCAATATTTTCTTTATTTATCATTTTCAGGAACATGCGCTTTTTAGAGTTGTAGGAAGCGCATATTAAACTAAAAGTACACTAAGTAACATTTAGTAACCTTGTATCAAAATAAAATAAAAGCCGGTAAAAAGTACAATTACTATCATGAATAGTCGTGTCATGACAGCAAAGAAAAAGACATGAATGGTTAACAAAAAGCGGGAATAAACCTTAATTTCCTTTTCGCCCTTGTGGTCAGTCGTTTGAACTGTGACCGTCTACAGTTTATAAGATGCATGATACCATTTTTTCCCTCATTAAGTCATGTTTACCTGTCATGGTAGATTGCATTTGTATGTTGTTTGACACCTTTGAAAACGATTGTCTCGATAATACATAATTAGCGAACTCATAATTAGCGTGTACAACATGATCACGTGATCTCTAATCTATGTGGGGAAACATGGCTTCTTCCATGTGCAAAAATAAGCATTACAAATATGATTTAAGAACGGATCTTTTACGAAGCGCCAGGTAAGATTACCATAATTATGTATCGTCCATTCGTATTCGTATTGAATCGTTATATTTTTTTTCCTTGCACAATTACAATTTTGGTATACAGAGAAGAAAAGAAATTTTAAACCATATTACCCATACCCGTTTTCCACAGTTTTGCAAGTGATTTCAAAATAAAAATTGTTTAAAAAAAATAACTGCATATGTGTAATTAGCAATTAAACTTAAAAATATCAAAAACTTTATTTGTTTCATGTTTTATGCATTCAATAATTTTCACATCTTTATTTTTAAATTATAGTATTACAGGAGTCATCACAGGAAAATAGTTACTAACTTGAGATTGCATTTAGAAACATGTTATATATGACATGACTGACTTCCTAGCAGATGTGATATCAGTGATCTAGGTATCTGAATCTTACTGTTAGCTAAAAGTCAGCTCCTTGTTTCTAACAGTAGCTTTTACGTTTATTATCATTCTCCTATCACTGCAAGAACTGTTTCCCAGGTTTGTCATTAAAAAAGAAATCATATAAAAATTATTTAAGTGACAATTTTTCCTTTTCAAATAAATTAAAAAAAAAAATAATAAGAATTCTTAATTAATTTTAAGTTAAAGACTCTATGCAACGTAGTTTTGAGCTTTTTTTTTCTTTCATTTTTGTCTTTTTCCCTGTATAATTTAAGAATTCCAATAATTGAAGGACCTTTGTGTATCTAATGTATATTTCCCGTAATTTTTCTATTGATGAGTTGCAATTTTATTTGCAAACCACACATTTTTTTGAAATATAAAAATTCCCCAGCAATTGTCAAAATTTCTTCCTCCTACACTGGTCACGCAATGAAGTGTTCTAGCTACAGTATTCTTATATTATCTTCATTAATGTAATTTTCAAACATCGTCAAAGGTGCTGAACATATATACAGATAAGAAATTAACTAGTGTCTTGAACAGTCTATCAAGGACATATAAAATAAGATAACTGATGTGTAAGCTTCAGACCAGGGAAAGAAAATGAAATCATTCATAGCTTTGAAATTTATATATAAAAATTAAAAATTAATATGATCATAATTAAATTTTTGACACACATAGAAGAACTGGAAACGATTTCTCTTTTTCGTCGGTGATTTCTCTTATGTAGCGATAAGTCTTATTTTGGGAGTTATACTTGGAAGAAATTGATACCTTTACGTCCAGTACTGTGACTTTATGGTCCTTTAATCTGTAATATTTTTATTTCAATGATTTTAAATGATTTCAGAGATGAAATGGAGGCAGGTGGTAGTTTTGTATGGATTTGTCTGGACACTTTGCATCGCATCAGCGCAACGAAGTAATGGTTACTCTAATCTCTCTCTCTCTCTTTTATTATTTTTAAATATTTAAATATACTTCAAATAAATAAATTTTTATTTATCATTAAAGCAAATACTGGACCAGAGTTTGGATTTGCCCGAACATTGATCTCCCCTGACAGTACGGATCCAGATCCATTCGGGACTGAGTCGTCTTTCAATTCACTGCCAAACCTAGACGATCTAGCTAATGTGCCTCTAGATTTCTTGGGAGGGACAACAATGAGGCCTCCAGATTTCTCCTTGGAAAGGATATTTGAGAACATCACTCCACCAGATGCCTCTGTGAATGATGGTTTATTCACAAGTGCAAATTCTTTCAACGACATTTTGTCCCCTGATGGAATAGTCGACTTTCAACTACCACCAGGAACAAATGGAGATGTTTTCCCTGTAAACGACTCAAACTCTACTCCAGACATAAGTCAAACTCGCGTTGAGCCCATACGTCCAGAGCTTCCTGATTTACAGTCAGTGATGTCTATGCAATCCCAATCCTCGTCTCAACAAAATGCAGCACCACCTTCCACAAACCAAGATATTAATCCAAACCCACTACCACAGAATTTTCCTCCTGAGCTATCAGTACCCAGTGGACCCGGTGCCCCCTCCTCTGTTATAAATGACTGGTTATCATTTACATCAGACCAGACACAAAGACCCCAGATCAATAATCAACTAATAACAGGTGCTGGTGGTCAAAATTTAGCAGGTAACATAGGCATTAATGACAATCAGATCGCTGGAATCAATGATGTCCAGCATGATATGTGGTCAGATAACTCATTATTTAACAATCCAAATCTAGGCGATCCCTCTGATGTTTTTGGAAACATGAACATCCCAATCAATTTTCCCATAGAAGAAAATTCTGCACCAAGTGGGATAGAACAGCAACGAAGACTTCCTATTTCTTCACCTGAAATGAATACAAATCAGAATCGTGTAATTCAATCATCAATTCCTGAAATCACAGGAACGTCTGTAAACAGACCGTTTTTGCCACCATTCAATCCTCAAAGCAGGATTCCATCGGGATTTGCGTCGGGTCCTAACTGGAGAGAACCCCCTGAACGTATACCAGTATTTCAAGTGGGTGGAGGACTGCCAGCCCAACAGAATCAGATTAATCCTGCCCGTAGAATCGATCCATTTAATGAACAAATCCTCATCAGAGATGTCTTTCGAGACTCTCCTACGTCCCCACAAAATAACAGAATGAGGCCTAGGAATCTAGAAAGGGACAATGCGATCAACAGTCAAGCTCGAATGGTTCTATCATCTCCAATGCCAATTGCTCGTCCATCTCGAGTCAATATACCAAGTCCTCAGCAGATTTTTGCGGGTGGTCAACAGTCTCAACAACCAACAAGAGGTGGTTTAACTGCGTTTCCCCAATCTCTTACTGCTCGTCGATCACCAACACTGAGTATATTTCAGGGAACTCCAACAAGGCCAGCAGACATGCAGCTGAGACCATTACCAAGGAATTCTTTTCTTCCATCAGCAACAAATATCCAATTTAGACCAAATCCACCATCTCCTCTCCGTGTAAATAATCGATTGAACTCTGTTCGAACCGTCACACGTCCAGTACCGGTTGGAAACCAAGAAGCAGCACGCTTTATAACCGATCAGCGTAATATGAATAGAAACATGCAAGTATGGACAAGGATTGAAGGTAGAGCTCAGAACTTCGCTGGGCAAACATCATTTCCAGGCAACCAAATAGAGCGTTCAAATTTGGCCTTCAGACCACCCAACCAGTTTCGTATTAACCAAAGACTACCCGAATCACTTCTCAGGGGGCTCCCTATTTCTAGACAAAGACAAGCCTTACGTTCAACGCCATCGACACCTATTCCTTCTCAAATTGGTTCTCGGCGACTGCCATTTCGACTTCAAGGCCCTTCGCCATCACCCTTGGAAAGAAATCGCCTCCGAATTTCTCCGATGCAACCTTCAATTACGCCAGGATTACAAGCACGGCAACAAAGGAGGGAATTCCCGATTGGGAACCGAAGATCAACACAAGGTGGGCCTCCTTTCGATCCTGTTCTCTTCCTCTCTCTTCAAGACTCTTTTCAAGCTCCTCTTGACTATGAACTCTTTGATATCTTCGAAGACAATCCTCTGCTCTTTCTTCAAGATCTTAATTTACCTTTGACAAACAATTTATTTAATCCGTTATTAGAATTTTCAGGCGGACGGCTTCGTGAAAATCGACGACCACGACAGTTCCCTTCAGGACAAATTCCCAATCGAATGGTTGTTAATATACCATTTAACCAACAGACAACTAATAACCCATTCGGAATACGACAAGTAGCACCACCTGTCTCACCATTATTAAGGGACGAAAATCTTCCTTTTCTGGGATCCGGGTTCTTTAACCCCAGAATGATGATGCTTGCTGACATTACAGTGAAGCCATCTTCAAAGAAAAGAGTAAAACCTGTATCGAAACAGAATGCAACACAAAATCTATTAGATAAAGTCAATTTACAGGGTTTAAGGAAAGCTGAATATATAAATACACCTGTAGTGAAAGAAAATAGGGTATTTTGATTTTTAATGTATAGGAAAAATACCAGCTTTGTATATGTAAAATGGGTTTTTTTTTCATTGTGTATAAGCATATCTACTTTTCTACGAGTTTTAAGAAAAGAATAAACATGTAATAATGTAGAATGAATTAAAAAAGAAATGTTTTTGCATTTCTCCAAAACTGGGAGTTATACATTTGGTAATTATTCATCTGAGTATTTGAAAAATGATTATTCGAGAAAGAATTTCCATTGCTTTTTTATTGCTCAAAAGCTATTGATCCATATGGTTATTATCAATTTAACCTTTCATCATAAATAAAACTATGTGAATTTGATTGAAGCATTATACTTTCTGTTATTCCTTTTACACTACATTTAGATATTGCCTCAATTTAAAATGATCTGATCAATTGATTAGGTTTTAATATGGATTAAAGTGCCTCATAAAAGGTTTCAATAGGGACAGCAGGAAAAAATATCTAAAATGGCCATCAAACTTTTGCTACATACAATTGCATTTTACATGAAAGGATGTAAGGTTGGACGAAGTCATTTGCCATAGCTGTTTAGAGTGTTAGAACTATTCTTTTCAATTTGATTACGTGTGGATATGTCCTAATGTGACCTGTAGATACCATAACACGCATGCGCATTCAGCATCTGAGAAAAACTTAAGCACGCGCCTATAGAAACACTTCAAATGAGAGATGCAGACGGACTTCCCACTCAAAATGAAAATTTGTAAAAAGGATTTGTTTGTAATTTTTCTTGCTTTCATATTTAAAGGTAAGCTCCTAGTGAATAGTGGACTGTAAAGAAGAAGAGTTATGTTTCTAATTCTTTTCATTTTCAACCACTAAAACTTAACGAACCTTTATTTACTCCATGAGAAAGTTTCAATAATCAATCTTTTCGCATTGAATTTTGAAAATACATTTTTAAGTAATTCACAAATTCAATCAAGTTTAAAATGTGTTTTTCAAAACTGAAGTTTAAGGTACATGTAGCAATTCAGAAGTATTTTTCATTTTTTTAAAACGCCCTACTCCCATGAGAAAGATATTGTACCTGAATGGAAGAAAACACACATTCATCTTATTTTAAATGTTAAGTGCGTTGGTATTAGACTAACAAGTAAAAAGACTTTCACTAACCACACTACAGGTACATGTAGTTAGTTACAACAAATCTGTTCAAAATAAATACATGTATTATTTACATGTTTACTGAATGTTCAAATTTCAAATTATATAGGCCATGAATGCCTAAATTACATTATAATGTATTATAAAATGTTACCATAAAGTTAAGGATCCTAAGTAACATAGATTTTTAGCTTTATTTTCAGTTACTCTAAGTAGAAATTCTTTCCTGTGGCATGGAGTGCCGGAATGGAGGAACAAGTTAGCCCATGGAGACTTTCTATGGCAGTCACGGGAGCGTAGCAAGATTATATGTTCCTACCGTTGTCTACAGCACAAGTCTTGTGTTTCTTTTTTCTACCAGAGCTCGACACAGTACTGCCAGGGTCATTCATCTGTGTTCCTGCACTTATCTGATGCAAGTAGTAAAGATTCATCAGAAACAGTGTATTTCAAAAGTAAGACTTAGTTTTTGTTGTCATTGTTTTTTTTTAATTTGTGGTGGAGGAGGGTACAAAATAAAGACAGTCGCGTCAACTCCTGGTGATACTATCCATTCCAGAATTTTATTGATATGCGTACATCTTACTGGTTGATCGCGTGGTTCAGTGGTTAGAACGTTTGCTCTAAGGTTGCGGAGGCGGAGTAACGAGTTGATCCTTACGTCGAGGGTTCGAATCCACTGTGTGACGCGGAGACCCCTCCTTCGAACCGAGGTCTCGTGTCGCAGTAGGTGCTGGCACAAAAAATATCCCTCATTGCTCAAAGGCCGTAAATGCCAAGTACAGATCTAAATTTGCAGCCCTCCACTGGCAATTGATGGCGTCTCAATATGAGTAAAAATTTTCGAAGGGACGTTAAACAAAGAAAAACATCTTATTGAAATAGCAAATATATACTATTGACTATTGATATATTAACAAGGGGATGCATGTTAAATCGATGTATAGGCCAACAGATTCCTTCCAGTTTCATAACCTCTTTATATATATATATATATATAAATTTTCTCCATTATTGCATATTAAAACAATATTGTTGTCATCTGAAGCAACACCGTAAAATTCATGTTCACTGTTGTTAGATCCCGCCTTATTATCTCCAAAAAATGGACAAGTGTTTAACGTCAACTGTTTCATTGCTCTTCCATCTTTGTAACGTACGGAGTGAATATACTATGGTGGCATATTTATGCCATCAACATAATTTTTTATCAACATAGCATATCATGACAATTCAAGATAACTATCTCGTCAAGTCATAATAACTTTCTGGTTTGTCGTCAAACACCGACTTTTATCTTGTCCAGGCAAGATAAGCTATCGTACTTTTTGCGATAGCTATCTCGACAAATAGAGATAATATATCTTGTATCGTGACTATAAGTTCTCTCCTCATGTCAAGATAGCTATCGCTACAAAATATGCCACCATAAAATACAATACTAGTATTTTACATGTATGTTCTCTCATCCACTTTTAACGTTGATTGATTGTATGGTGTTTTTAGTTCCCATTCGAGAATATTTCACTCATATATAGACCTATACTCGGCACTCAGCCTTTGAGCAGTGAGGGTTCTTTATCGTGACGTGGGACCTTGGTTTTTAAGGTCTCATCCGAAAGACCCGTGACTTTCATTTCTAGTGCCAGGAGGTTGGCGAAGGAATACGTCTTAGGTTTGAAGTGGGCGGGAGAATCGAACCCGGGCCTCCCGATCACAAAGCGAACGCTCTATCACTAGGGTACCGTGACCGGATTCCACTTTAAATGAATAACTAAAAAATATAACTTTAAACAAGCATTCTGAGAGTGTTGCAATAGCAATACTAGTCCCCTACCGGCAAGTGTAATCTGGTTCCCGTTAAAAAAATGAAAATACCATAATTCCATCAAAAATCAATGAAGCGGAACGAAATGCTAACCTGCTCTATAACTCATCAAGGTAAAGTCACATACCAAAAATCAGCTCAATATCTGCAAATATTTAGGAAAAAAGTGCGGAAAACCCTGAAAAATTGAAAAGGTCGTAATTCGTCAAAAAAATCAATGAAGCAGAACGAAATGTAAACTTGATCTGTAACTTATCAAGATACACTCACATACCAAAAATAAGCTCAATATCTGCAAGCGTTCAGAAAAAAACTGCGAAAAACCAAGTGGGACAGACTGACAGACAGAGGGACAGCTAGACACCGGTAGGGGACTAATAATAGGACGTCTTTCATTGTTTTGTTTTTTAGGGTTGACGGTTGCAATCATTGAAAAAAAAAGTTAAAAAATTATCCGCTATTGTCTCTTTTTTCTGCATTGTTGGCATTCTGATGCAAGTTACAAATTTGTCGTATTTCCCCCTATAACACATTAAAGACAGCATTTTATTAGTCAACTACCGGTGAAACCTGAAGGGACTATAGGTTTCCTCTGAGTCTGTCCATCCATCTGTCTAGCTGTCTCTCTATCTGTCCCACTTGGTTTTCCGCACTTTTTTTTAAACGCTTGCAGATATTGAGCTATTTTTTTTTTATATGTGACATCCTCACAATGTCAAGGTTTTGTGATTTCGGAACTCCACACAAACCCTTGACATAAGTCGTTATTTAAAAGTTGGGCTAGAAAGCTACTATTTCATTTGTTCCTGGTCTAGGACTGGAACCAATCAGAAAACAGATTTTATTGTAGTTATTAAAAAGTTTTGTAAATAAATAGACTCGTCTTTAAAATGGAAAGTGCCAGTATTGTAGGATTTGTGACTAGTTACTTTAAATAAAACATCGGGGATTGATTTTTTGAAGATCGTCCTCCTTACAATCACGAAAGATATGCTCTGGAGTTGGGCAATTTGATAACGACAGATTTGAAAAAAATATCTTCTCACTGGTTAGTTTATAATTACCCATTACGTCATGTGTAACTACAAGCCCAACATTTAAATAACGACTTATGTCAAGGGTTTGTGTGGAGTTCCGAAATCACAAAACCTTGACATTGTGAGGATGGATATGTGAGTGTATCTTGATGAGTTACAGATCAAGTTTGCATTTCGTTCCGCTTCAGTGATTTTTGATTTACTCTCAGAATGCTTGTTAGTCCCCTACCGGTGAAACCGGAGGGGACTATAGGTTTCCTCTGGGTCTGTCCGTCCGTCTGTCTGTCTGTCCCTCTGTCTGTGTGTCAGTCTGTCCCACTTGGTTTTCCGCACTTTTTTCCAAAACGCTTGCAGATATTGAGCCGATTTTTGGTATGCGAGTGTATCTTGATGAGTTACAGATCAACTTTGCTTTTCGTTCCGCTTCATTGATTTTTGACTCAACTACGACCTTTTCAATTTTGAAGGGTTTTCTGCGATTTTTTTCTAAACGCTTGAAGATATTGAGCTGATTTTTGTTTTTTTTCAATTTTGAAGGGTTTTCTGCAATTTTTTTTCTAAACGCTTGAAGATATTGAGCTGATTTTTGGTATGTGATATTACCTTGATCACTTATAGATCAATTTTGCATTTCGTTCCGCTTCAATGATTTTTGACGGAATTATGGCATTTTCAATTTTTAACCGGAACCAGATTACACTTACCGGTAGGGGACTATATTGCTAATGCAATACTCTCAAAATGCTTGTTGTTTAAATTATATATGTACATTTCTTGCTGATGATTGTTTGGTGATGAACAAGATCATTTCAAGGCTTATATATTGTGTCACGCCATGCGTGTACTTATGAAACGCCAATTCAAATTAACAAATAATCAAATAATTGAATATGCCTTTAATTATTTGAAGATATAATTAATTGAATTCATTTAATTTGATCTCAGCTAAAATTCTGTTAAAGATCTTTTCTTATAATTCATACTGTATCTTTAATTCTTGATTAATTCATTGTTCTTACTTATAAATAATCTTAATAATTGAATTGCTCTCTTTCAAATAAATGAGTGATAGAAACTGACTCGAAGAAGTCGAAAATGTGAAGTTTACAGACAGACGAACGGACAGCGAGACACGGACTGCAGACAAAGTGTGATCAGAAAAGCTCACTTGAGCTTTCAGCTCAGGTGAGCTAAAAATCAAAAATGCATGGCCGTAGGAACCGGAGGGAGCACGGGAAGGGGGGGGGGCTTTGTTTTTGGCTTGACAAGGAATTTTGGTAGTTGATAGTGTCCCCCCACCTGAAAATGTATGGCTGTGTCCCCTCAAAGTGAAATTGCTTCCTACGGGCCTGAAATGTTACAAATTTGTACTACTATAACTATATAGATTTATCGAATCAAAAATAAAGTAAATGTGTCTTATTTTCAATATCTTCTAAAATAAAAAAATTTAAAAAATTCGTATAATTTTCAAGAATCTGATTGGAATGTGGTCTTTATACCTGCCAAATTCTAGAGAAATTATGTTAAGAATTCATTTGAAAAGCCTTTATTTAATAAGTTTGTGAAAATCTTTTCGTTTATTATTACATACCTTGGAGCCTTTTACTGTTATAGACATATTTACTGTACATGTACAGCCTTGAGCCTTAATTATTACACACAAAAGTATCGGATAAAAGTTCTTTCAACTAACTGAAACTTTTATAATCAACGACTAATTTCATATCTGATGGTTAATACTTTTACATTATATAGCAAATTAAATGAGCATTCTTAAAGAGCTTGAAAGACTTTCCATTAGAAATTTAGTGAAATTATAATGCAATTCTTTATAATTTTTTTTTATTAAACATCTATCACCATTCAAAACCCCAACAACTTTTGTATTGCACAGCACACTGAAAAAACACAATGAGATCATACAATATAATGAATACAAAAAATAAAAACAATTAAAAAAAATGGATCATTACAATTAGGTAAAAAAATTAAAAATGCCACTGAATGGGCTTGGTGGGAATGTAAAGCATTTATATACATAATAAATCTCATGACTTGCATTAAATTAAAGCATATCAAGAGTTTAACCTTGGTCCACATTGAACACTGATAGGCCAAACCCAAATCAGAAAACTCTGTGTACATTTTGCATTTCAAGCTTTGTGACCTTCATGTTTGGAAATCATTTCTTTTCCAAATAGATTTAATACAGTAACGCATTTAAAGGGTAAATTCATGTTTCTCAATCAAATGTGAAATGTACATTTTATAGCAATGTACAATTCATAGCCCCAACTGTGTGAATGTGTTGTCTGATGACTGATGAGCCTAAATTGCTGGAGATGCATCAAGTCTTTATTAAATGAGACATTTTCCATACTTTTCCAATTCCATTATAATCTCTAACACAAAAAAGTGTATGCTTCGACATTAACTCCCTAATGAAAGGCCTCTGCCATCAATGAAGTTGCACAAATACCTAGTAACAGCTTCATTAAATATAATGCTAGCATTTTTTATGCTAGCACCATTGACTACTTGTGTGTCAGCAGTTTTAATACACATTGTATTGAATATTTTTTTCTAAATAAAAATTCTTTTGTTCCAGATGCTATTGCATATACATTGCATACATTTAATAATTATCCTAGAGCTATATTAATTTCAACACCAGAGGTCATTGCCATTTTCAATATATGGCATGCAAGGAATAGTTTTCTAATAATTTCTAATAATTTTCTAATAATTTACTATGTCATATTATAAACTGCTTGTGATTCACACATACACATGCTAAATGATCAAAATTGAAATTTCAAATAAGAATTTGGCAAATAAGACACAGTATTTAATAAAGGTCATTGCATGAATTTCAAAGAAAAAAAATTGACAGAGACTATACATATTCCTGTACAACAAAGAAGCATTATAGTAAGTACATGTAAGTATACATAATGTATGGCACAAGTCTACCAGTATTACACAATGCCCATGTACTTCTCACTTGAACATCTTTTCCCCATCACAATGAATGGGATGTCATTATAATACACAAACATTACCTTCTGTTTAGAAATGAATCACAGCTTTATGATCCTGTTTCTTTTGTAAAAAAAAAAAAAAACCAGGAAGTTCCTTTGTGCATTTGAGAATGCAGTTATTTTGACAGCATAGCTTTTTATTCCACTTTGCTGCTTTGAACACTTTAATGTCCTGGCCTGTTTATGTCATTTACACATACTCGCATAATATAATCTATGGAAATCGTGTTTGTTTGGAGTTCTCTATAAGCTTCTTGAAAGAGCTCTGAGGTTGAATATCCATGATCGGATATAAAACACGGAATGTATTTAGCATGTGGACTGCCATTTCCTAATCTTATGAGAAAGCTGATATCAGAGGGCACAATTCCAACTTTCTGTGCAACAATACCTAGATACACATCATCCTCTCTAAAGTGGGGGATGTAAGGAATGACTTTCTGAAATTTATTTATTGTTGCTTTGTTAAAGAAAACTGTTCCGGACGGTATGTATGGAGGAAAACAGTCAAAGGGATAATCTTCCCAGGACACATAATGTTTGTCGGAAAAATCACGGATGGGAAATGGTTTTTCCACCAGAAATCCACTATAAAGATAATCCACATTACTTCTGTCAATAGAGCTAAGATATTTCAAACTGTTTTGCATGTTAACAAACATGTCATCATCCACAAACAAGATATATTTTGCAGAATTACAGTATTTTGTAATCCAGCTAAATGCCATCTCCATTTTGTATGTATTGCTCCAGTAATTATCTTGGAAATCCTCCTGGATTATGTCCTTAAACACTTGATTTTCATATTCTATAGAAGCTTGTTGCACTTCTGAATATCCAAGGATAAAAACCAGACGCCGATTTTCTAAGCTGGCTTCTTTGCCCCATGTCTGTCTTATGTAAAGCCTATTCTTGTAGTTATGTGTAGCAGATTTTACAAGAGTTAGAAGATAAATCTCCTCATCATTTTCACATACAGTGTTTGCCACAAATTTATATCGAAATGGATGAATGTTTAATGGATCAATACTAATGTTGTCCAAGTTTTTGAATTTGTATGGAGTATAACCGAAATCAGTCTCGCACCTAAAAATGATTTCATTCCTTTCCAAAGAAAAGCACTTTGTTACTATAAATATCACAAGTCCTATAAATAGCACTTTGATGTGCCATTTTTTGTAACGACAAAATTTCCTGATGAAGATTGATAAGAGTGCCCTCTGTATTCTGTAAAGAAAAAAACTGCTCATTTTACATTAAAATCTAATGTATACTATTGATACTATATAATGGGTATTTTCTGCAACTTGAATTCTTTGCAGTTTCATGAATCCACTAAAGCTATAGAATTCTGACCTCTGTACATACTATTTGTGGGATTCATCTGAAGTACAATTAATAAAGGGATATATTTAAATATTTTGTGATTTCATTTTCTGTGAATTTGACAGAACTATATAATTCTGCCAAAATTGGACAACTGCATTATACACTATGTTTTAATCATCCAGAAATACCTTAATGAGGGGAGGGGTTTGGAATTAAGTGGTCAAATGTAGTTTTCTATGCCACCAGAAATATTACATTCATGCTAAGAAATAAATCTGTGTAGAAATTTACAATACCTGGTACTTATCAGATCTCAGTCACTAAATAAAAATTCACTCAATGTTTGTTAATCCATGTACTTAAGTGATAAGCATTCACATCTGTTGTGGGTAACTTATCTTAATTAACTTTCATGATCACCTTTAAATTTCATGCTGAGAAACATATACATTTAGCTAGGATGCAATGATTTTGAGTACTAGAAACCTTTCATGTTAATCTACATTTACACAATTTTAAATTTTGAAATTGGTACATGTATATATGAGAGATCAATGCTTCTCTTTAACATCTTATTTAGCCAACAGAGAATGTTACCCACTGAGAATGTGAATACTTAGCAACCCTTCCACTTTGTCTTTTGTAATTGTGATTCCATTTATTTTGTAATGGCTCTATCATAAATACACTAGTTTTCTTTTAATTACCGTCTACATAGATGTCCAGCCTCCATGCAAGGTGAAGGTTCTCGAGAATGGTTTCCGTAGTGAGACCAAGGCACTTCAACATAGTGTATTCTCATCTTTCATATTCGCACTGTTGGGTGTAAAAAATAGCCTGATCAAGGTCTGTTGCCATATACATCTCTGAATCTAGCATTGAGATAAAGAAAAAAAGTATATTTAGCTAAGACTGACTAAATGTGCCACCTATAGAAAAAATTTAATTGTACATAATTATTTTGCATAAAAAAGTGCACCGTTTCTCGATTTATTTCTCTGTATATTTAAACTGCAATCTAAAAATATTACTGTGTGTTCCTAATATATTCCTTCACTATTTCCATATCAAAATATAACCATTTTCAGTAGCCCTCCTGGGCCTGAAATTGAGACCATCCAAAATTTCGCCTATTTATACTGCCATTTTGGATGGCAAGACAATTCGGTCCAAGTGCGCCGAGCAGAGGTCAACTACAATAGTAGTTGATAATTCTTTGAAATCTAGCTTTTCTCCAGTTGAGGCAAGATTTTGGAGAAATACATCCAGAACTGAGAACAAATTTTTGTGCACAATAAATGTACATTTTTTTTCTATGGGTGGCACTGTAGCTCTCCAGTCTGTCTGACTCAATATTTTTTTCGGAGAGCTACAGTTCTACAGCTACTGTGATTATTATAACTTATACTGGCCATGAGGATAATAGCAAGTTCACTGAACCCCAGGAGAGCAACAACTTCCCAAGGAGTAGCTGAGGGAAATATATATCGTTGCTATCGAGGGAGACAATAAACTTGCTTTTGTCCAAATAGTCAGTAAAAAGGTGTTTTATTATACCGAAGTAGACTTTACTTGCATGTTTAATGTCATGATCAGGATAAAACCAGAAGAGATCCGAAATTAAATGGGAGGGTAATAGAATGCTGGTGGTGAATAGTTTGATGACTATTTCATCGTGGGCAAATACCACAAAAACTATTCCATGGTAGGAAGCTGTTAATTTAGAAAATAATTGCAGGTTTATTCATCAGGGAGGTATAGTATAATAAACACTGTTATAACATGTATAAGTCATTAGGTGTACAAGCAGGATCTTGATTGACATTGCCAAGAATTAGACCCATTCAAAGGACCCATTCCCAATTCAAAAAAAAATAATACCTAATTTCCCAATTAACCGTGCTAATTTTTCCAATAGTCATTTTACACATATATAATTGAATATATTGTAGTAGGAAAGGAGAAACGCATGAAGGAAACATATGGCTGGACCGGGAATTGATCCCGGGACCCCTGCTGTACTAGTCAGGTGCTCTAACCACTGAGCTATCCAGGCCGAAGTCCACGGTCCATAAAGCCAGAACTCCTACAACATGTACAATATTATAAATAAACACTGATAAACTTTCTACTCGTATTTCTCTCTACTGCAGAATAGAAATTTGGTTGATAACAAACATCAAGAACCCAATTTTATTTTATAATGATTTTATGTACAATGATTTTCCCAAATCCCCCAAAAAGTAGGCAATTTCCCCAATTTTTAGCCCCGGCCCCAGTCCCCAAAAGGGTAGACAGACATCTCGGCCCAATGACACGTCGGCCCGTCACGTTTGACACCTCGGCCCTGACAGGTCGGTCCAAGATAATTGACACGTCGGCCCATATAAAATACACCTCGGCCCAAGCAAAATTTTGTGATAGAAGGAATTAATCCAGGGTCTGAATTGATATTATTATATAATAGATATAATTATTCTTTCTGACGATTAAACAATTTTCTTCACAAAAATCAAATTGAGAAGGGGGTGTCTTTGATAGATAATTGGTTCATTTCTATAACTAAAATCAGATAAGTCCTTAACTTGCATCTCTCTCTTGTGGAAAATGCCCAATATACATGATATATATGCTACATGTGTAATTATTTATACTATATTTCAATTTACTAGCAATTCTTTCTTACGATTTCTATTATAATTTTAAGAATCTACATTATCGAATCATTTTGCATTGTTTCTCTGATGATTTGAAACGTATGAGATAGGTCAATAATCCTGAAAGAAATGAATTACTTTTAAACTTTTTTTGTGCTTGGGAGATTAATGTGAGAATAATCAGATGCATCCTTCATGATTTTTTTGAACCTACATCTAAAAAGTTCTGTAAACTGTTTGATAAAATATTAACTTTCGTAAAGGAGAAAATATTCAATGGATGTAAATGTACTATCTCACAATTAAGCCTGCTCGTAATTAACCCCTCATTGTCACCAGTATGACACGCACTTGAGACTACAAAAGATGCGCCGCGGTATCTTGTTTGTTTATCAGTTAGCACTTTAATTAATTCATTGACCTATATACTAAGTATGAAGTTAGTATAGGTCCCTGATTAATTGTCTTCTCTCTCCTCGATTATTAAAATTACCAAAAAATTCTTGACCGTTTATTCATAATTTTTTCCAGTCAATATTTTATTCAAGTTGCAAATTGGAAATGTATGTTAATACATTTCATAATGAAATTCTGCTTGGGCCGAGGTGTCTTATAGATGGGCCGACCTGTCTTAAATCTTGGGCCGACCTGTCTGAGCCGAGGTGTCATTGGGCCGAATGTCGTTGGGCCGAGGTGTCGTTGGGCCGAGGTGTCTGACATTCCTCCAAAAGTGGTGCGAAAGCTCTGACATGGGCAGCTGATGGGAGGAGGGGGGGGGGGCTGCAAAGGCCGGGAATAGAAAGAGGAGGGGGAAATAGATGAGGAATGGGGATACAGAGAGAGGGAAGTGTTGAGTCGAAAGAGAATGAAGACAGCGAGTAGGAAGCAGGACATACCCTCAAACATCCACCCACACACGCATGGTAACGATTGTCAATATGTTCTAACATTCAAGTTTTAACACAGTACTCATGGAACTGTTCTACAAAACAGAACACATAATTTAAACCAGACTTTAATAAATATGTCACTTTGAATTTATCTTACCTTAATTATTAAGACTTAATCAATATTTTACCTGTACAGTGTACAGCAGTCACCATCATACCATGGGCAGACAACCATAATCTGAAATTCTAAACTATTACCCAAGTTTTTCTGGACCGAGTTCCGTTAATGGCATCTAAGATAGTTGTCTCGTCTTCCGAATTAAATAAAAATTTATTTTTAAAAATTTATTATAATGAATTTATTTTAAGAAAGTATGCACTGTATTTTTATCTAATGAAAGGCTGTATTTTAAAATTGTATCGTACCACCATTATAGCAACATTCGCTACATGATCGCCATTCCCGTTGTCAATTTTTAAGTGAATAGTGAGTTGCATCCTGTATGCACGTGTCAACATGCAACTTATTTACGTCAGCTTGCGAAAAAAGTAAGGTTGCATGTCAACATAAATAAGCTACATGTCAACACAAATAAGTTACATGTCAACGTAACTGAGAACTTTGCGTGTTAAAATGCAAGGGAGGAAATATGTTTAAACTTTTGAAATCAACATGTGCATAAAAATTATTTCAATAAAAAATGTGCATTTGACAGTTTTCCCTTTCTTTATTTTATTTCTTTATTATCTTTTATTTTTACTTTATTTATTTATTATTTTTATTTATCTATTATTATTGTTTTTTTTTTTTTTTTTTTTTTTTTTTTTTTTTTTTTTTTTTTTTGCTTGCTTGCTTGTCAAAGTTTTTTAAGGGAAGTTGTCAAATTAACTTTTTTATTATTAGTATATTATTTTTTATTTATTTATTTATTTGCTTGTCAAAGTTTTTTAGGGAAGTTGTATTTTTTCCCCTGCCCCCCCCCCCCCTTTCCAAAAACGATATTAGCCTGTTAAAATTATGTTGAAAGTGAGAAAACATACCTCGTCGCTGATGATCTATTACATGTATAACGAACTTGGCCGATCTATTATGACGAACTTGGTCGCTTTCTTCTTTGAATTCAAAGAAAAAATCGCATTATAAAATTAATTTTGGTTGAAGGTATTAGAATCAGAGAATTGTATAAGGAAAAGTATTTACCACGATATGCTTGAAACAATTGAGACATGTCCTTGTACAAAATATAATTAGCTACTTGTAATTAGCTAATGTAAAATATTTATTACTTTAATTAAGGTTCAGAGAAGCTTTGTATTGTCAAAATATTACATTTAGAATCTGTTTGGTTATATATAAATTGTTAAAAAAAACAAAAAAGATTTACGGATTTTTTAAGCAAAATTGTGATGCCTTATCTTTCTTCGAATTTCCTCTATCGTCTTTATTTAAATGAACATTATGGGTACTATGGTGGCCAGAGAAATAAATAATTAATTTTCTCGATGGTAAACGTCCACACGATAAATAGATTTTTTTAAAACAATATATATACTTACATTATGATTATATTTTTTACTGTCAATTAAAAAAATGTCGATATGATTGCCTTGTAGTTTACATTCGTGACTTTTTAAAACAATTTTTTAATAATATTTCGTAGCATGAATGATTTTTTAAGAGATATCGCTGAAAATGTTTCAGTTGACGAATTTTATATTAAAGTATAAAAATTATTTTGTTTCACTCAAAATTAGACAAGGATTACTAGACAGACATCTTGTGTAATGCAATGTGTATATTATTTTTGGCATACCGAGCATTGGGGCCGTCCAGGTAAATAACACCAGGAGGCCTGTTTTACAAAAGAACTTAAATTACGACTAAGACCAAAATTTAATTTGGCTTATTACTTTCTATTTTTCATTAATTTGAATATGATTTTTATCTGTTTAAAAAGAATTTAGAAAGATATTTTTTTCTAGGAATTTTAAAAAGAATTATCAATTAATTTTGCAATATTTTAAGATCAAATAAAGTTTTTGGTCTTAGTCGTAAGTTTGTTTGTAAAACGGGCTCCTATATTACCAAGACCGACTCCCTCTCCTCGGGTAATCAGACGTTAAAAAGATTTGGTCTTTATAGTGTTTTTGTACAGATATTTAAGAAATAATTTGTGTATGCAATCCTAGATTGCAATTCCTAGATTAAAGTCCTTAGAATAATAATTTAACTTAATAATACAACAGAAAATCACTGTTCTTTTAATATAAAAAGATGCATTTTTTAATGAAAGCGATGATGCTATATTTTCTATACAACTTCAATATTTTCTGTTCTTGTGTTTTTTCGCGTTCACCTGATCGACTGAAAATATAGGTAAATTCCTACAGAAAGCAGAAACACTTAGAGAGATTCACTATTGTAAACTAAAATTTTGTTGTTGTTGTTGTTGGAAATTTAATATACAAACAATATTATGGAAAACCAAGTGTATGTAAAAATATTTTATGTATGTACATTCATTAAAATGCAATACTTCTGTATTATATAACATCAGGGACCTATATACTAAGTATATAGGTCCCTGATAACATTTATTTTGTAAATGCATAATGATAATTTGGTCTGATAAGCCATAATGGCTTAAGGAATAAATAAACAAACACCGTTAATGATTACGATGGGTTGTAATATGGGGGGGGGGGGAGGTAGGTGTTGATGATGTAATCCTTTTGGTTTTTATTTTCTAGTCGCATGTAAAGGAGGACCCTCCTACATATATGACCGTGGGGCCAACACCTGCTACAGCGTGAAAGAGAAAAGGGGATCGTGGTTCACAGCACAGTCTTACTGCAATTCCGAAAATTCATGGCTTCTGGATTTGAGTGACGATCAAATTTCTTCTCAACTAATGACGAAATTCAATGATCACCGCGATCCTTGTATGTAACCTTTATTTATAAACCAGTCTTTCATTTTTAAAAGAAAAATTGGTTATTATTGTACAGGAATTCGACAATATATCAATCCGACTTTTGAAGACCAGACACCCTATAAGAAATTAAGTTAATGCTTACAGCTGAAACGACATGCATGTTTTCGAAATTAGTGCGTTTTTTTTGTTTTGTTTTGTTTTGTTTTTTGTTTTTTTTTGCTAATTTGAGCTAGGCTCCCAGGTGAGCTTTTTGACTAAAAGGTCTAGAATCTTATTCACAGTTCTAAATATCTTTCAGTTCTATTAATAGACTTTTCATGTCTTTTTCGTACGTAAAAAACTAATAACTATATCAAGATATGTTACTTTTTTTTTTCTAAAATGCCTTTTATGGCGTATAGGGTATCAATTAGGTCTTAAAATCAGTGTCTACCTAGCTGAGCGATCAGGTATGGAAACAATGTAAAATCCATAGGCGCAACATGAGATAAAGCGGGGTAATGGGGTATCGCATGAGTTGAACAACAAAAATGTCAATCCTTCCATTCTTACAAAGCTACTACAATTAACAATTTGGTCCTAGATACGTGTTCGCAATCTCTAGCAGCAAATAAAAACATTTTAGTCTCTTTCGGGCATTTTCCTGTCTGCACACATAATTTTTTCAATAGCTCGGTGCTCCGCCAAGACGTTCAATAACATTGCCATTTTTGACTTCGTTTTGACGCATTGATTATCTATAATAAGCGATAAAGCAGTCATAAATCCCTCTAATTCAATTAAAAATTTCGCCAAATGACGTTTCATGAATATTGTAGCCACAAGTGAATTAACATAAATCCAAGGCCGTAACTACCATTGAGGCAAATGAGGCAAATGCCTCACTAAATTTTTTGGAGTTTTCTGAAAAGTGAAAACATTTAACTTTATAGTTCAGTTATAGTTCAATATGGTGAATTGTGTGAGTCTTTGTACTAAATTAATATTTTCAGCTTTGGTTTCATTTTCTGTAGGCCTAAATCGATCATCTCGCCAGGTGCTTCATTATAGTTTGAAAAGTATTAAAACAATGATTCAAAACGTGATACTTTGAAAGATGAAGTCCTTAATTTGCTTAAAGGTTTCGGGAACCCTCTACCCCTAGAACCCCCATCAGAGTTCTACCGTGGACCAGCTTAGGATTCAAGTAGACCCCCGAACCGTTGCCTCTCTAAAAATTTGGGCCTAATTATGGCCTTGAAATCTTTTTATCCCATGTTTACCCCTTTATCCCGTGGATATCACTCATTGGACTTTTTTTTAGCTCACTTGAGCTGAAAGCTCAAGTGAGCTTTTCTGATCACATTTTGTCCGTCGTCCGTCTGTCTGTCTGTCCGTTCGTCTGTAAACTTTTCACATTTTTGACTTCTTCTACAGAACCACTGGGCCAATTTCAACCAAACTTGCCATGAAGCATCCTTGGGTAAAGGAGATTCAAGTTTGTTCAAATGGAGGGCCAAGCCCTCTTTCAAGGGGAGATAATTTGGAATTAGTGAAAAAATAATGGCATCATTTAAAAATCTTCTTCTCAAGAACCACTGGGCCAGGAAAAATGAAACTTATGTGGAAACCTCCTCAGGTAGTGAAGATTCAGGTTGTTCAAATCATGACCCCCGGGGGTAGGGTGGGGCCACAATGGGGGATCAAAGTTTTACATAGAAATATATAGGAAAATATCTTTAAAAATCTTCTTCTTAAGAACAGCAAAGCCATGATTGGTCATATTTATATGGAAGCATCCTCAGGTAGTGTAGATTCAAGTTTGTTCAAATCATGACCCCCGGGGATAGGGTGGGGCCACAATGGGGGATCAAAGTTTTACATAGAAATATATAGGAAAATATCTTTAAAAATCTTCTTCTTAAGAACAGCAAAGCCATGATTGGTCATATTTATATGGAAGCATCCTCAGGTAGTGTAGATTCAAGTTTGTTCAAATCATGACCCCCGGGGGTAGTATGGGGCCACAATGGGGGATCAAAGCTTTACATAGAAATATATAGGAAAATATCTTTAAAAATCTTCCTCTTTAGAACAGTAAAGCCATGATTGGTCATATTTATATGGAAGCATCCTCAGGTAGTGTAGATTCGAATTTGTTCAAATCATGACCCCCAGGGGTAGTATGGGGCCACAATGGGGGATGAAAGTTTTACATAGAAATATATATAGGAAAATATCTTTAAAAATCTTTTTAAGAACAGCAAAGCCATGATTGGTCATATTTATGTGGAAGCACCCTGAGGTAGTGTAGATTCAAGTCTGTTCAAATCATGACCCCCGGGGGTATGGTGGAGCCACAATGGGGGATCAAAGTTTTTCATAGAAATATATCTATAGGAAAATATCTTTAAAAATCTTCTTAAGAAAAGCAAAACCATGATTGGTCATATTTATATGGAAGCATCCTCAGGTAGTGTAGATTTAAATTTGTTCAAATCATGACCCCCAGGGGTAGGGTGGGGCCACAATGGGGGATCAAAGTTTTACATAGAAATATATAGGAAAATATCTTTAAAAATCTTCTTAAGAACAGCAAAGCCATGATTGGTCATATTTATATGGAAGCATCCTCAGGTAGGGTAGATTCAAGTTTGTTCAAGTCATGACATCCCCCCCCCCCCCCCCCGGGATAGGATGGGGTCACTATGAGGGATCAAAGTTTACAGAGGATTATATAGGAAAAAATCTTTTTGTCAAGAACAGAAAAGCCATGATTAGTCAAATTAATATGGAGGCATCCTTGGGAGTGTAGAATGAAAATTGTTCAAATGAGGGCCCCTGTAGGTAGGGTGGGGCCACAATGGGGGATCAAAGTTTTACAAATGAATATATGGGAAAAAATCTGCTGCTCAAGAACAGCAAAGCCATTTGTTATAGTGATATGAAAGCATCATTAGGTAGTTTAAAATTCAACCCCCCCCCCCTAAACTTTTCAATACTGAACTGATTTTTGCTTTTTTTCCTAGCCAATGTGCTCAGGTGAGCGATGTGGCCCATGGGCCTCTTGATTTTCATATCCCACTGCTGTGACGTCGCAATGGTTTTTGAGTGAAAGTGGTGAAGTAAAATAAAGTAGATTCCTATATAAAAACGGTGTAAAATATTGATAGTGATGCATAAAACATGGGATAAAAAGAAACTCCCATGATTTGTAGCTGGATGATTCTTATCCAACTCGTTGTGTGTTTTTATCCCCTTGCCATGGCTCGGGGATAAACACACACACACACACAACTCCTTGCCTAAAAACCATATCAGCTTTGTTCCCATTTTGCCTTAACTGTAAAATTTGCTATTCCCATTTCGCCTTAGTACCTTCTGGGGTTTATTAAGGCGAAATGGGAACTTGTGTAAACATACCGGTATAATAATGCGTACAAGTATTGTTTGCATTGCATAGCAAAATATTTCAAATCATATTCATAATTATCCAACTATAAATCATGGGAGATTCCATAGGGACTTGTCTTTCGGATTGTTAAATGTAAAATAAATTAATAAAATTTTGAATCTACTTAAAGATACACTTCAAAGTTGTTAAAATAAAGATTCTGACACTTTCAGTCATGAAAAACCACGTTTAAAAAAGACATACAACACCTATATACATAAACTCTAGAGTTTATGTGTATAGATGTGGTACGTCTTTTTTAGAGTTTGATATGCTCTATCTGTGTTATTCTATCTGTGTAGTGAAGTTATTCTATTAAAAACTGGATGGGAATCTTGACATTGGTGACCTTGACCTCCTGACCTTAAATTTTGAGTACCTGAGCCCAAAATCTGTGAGTTTCTTCCTTTCATTATCCTAAGATTTGGCTATATGTAGATTATATACCCAAACAATAATGTAACAGAAAAGTGCTAAAAAACAGATGGACAAAGTAATTTGTTTATTGCATTTCATCCAGAGAAGACCACACACACACAAAAATCAATTACAACTACAATAATGCTGCTTAATGTGGCAAGATGAACATAATGTTCCATTAAATGATCTACCAAGCATCTTTCTTTACTACTCACCAAAATATTAACAGCAGTGAAGGAGAAGCTTCAGGAGTACTGTGCAACAATATATTTGAGAAGTGGTGTAAATCAGATGTGGATACTTAAAAATTCCAAGGAACTTTTTGGAAAATTTGAAATCACAAAATTTTACCAAAATCAGTAACATGAAAACTGACTTTTCAACTCTGTATACAACCATTCCTCAATTAAGATAAATTAAAGTCCAGGCTTTTTGACATCATTGACAGCTGCTTTTTCAATAAAAATGGAATGGAAATTTACTTACCTTGTCATTGGTCATTTGCAAAATTATTTTGTTAAAAAACATTCTGATTGTACACACAAGTACTCTGAAGTTGATATTAAAAAGATGTTTGGGTTTCTGATTGACAATATCTATGTGGTTTTTGGAGACCAGGTCTTCCAACAATCTGTTGGAATTCTCATGGGTACCAATTGCGCCCCCTTGTTAGCAGACCTATTTTTGTATTCATATGAAGCAGAATTTATTCAAAATCTTATACAAGAGAAAAAGAAATCTTTTGCTGTGGCCTTCAACTCAACATTTAGATATATCGACGACATATTATCAATTAACAATAGTTATTTCCGTTCATATGTCAACACGATATATCCCAGTGAGCTTGAAATAAAAGATACCACAGAGTCTGACACATCTGTTTCATATTTGGATATTTTTCTAGAAAAAAATGTTAATGGTAATCTAACAGCAAAGCTTTATGATAAACGTGATGACTTAACTTTTCAATCGTCAACTTCCCTTACTTATGCAGCAATATACCCTTATCACCTGCATATGGGGTGTATATCTCTCAGTTGATTTGATACACAAGAACATGCTCTAGGTATGAACAATTTCTAAAACGAGGTAAGTTATTGACAAACAAGTTGATGAAACAAGAATATCGACAGTCTCGTTTATTAAAGTCATCATTTAGTAAGTTCTATGGTTCATACAATGACCTTGTCAGCAAATACAATCTATCATTAAGTCATTTGCTGACTGACGTTTTTCATACTAATTGTTAGGCCTTTATTTACACACTGAATTGTCGACAGATTTTTTCGTTATTTACTGAATATGACAAGGAGCACACGGCAGGTGTGACAGGTTGGCAGGGGATGCTCACTCCTCCATGTCACCTGATCCCACCTCTGATGTTTTTGGAGGTCCGTGTTTGCTCTGCTCCCAGTTTGTTTTGTTTCAGTGGACTTTGAGCTTGAACACTGTTCGTTATCTCCATATTTCATTAGACCAAACTGCCATACATTGTTTATCTTTACCGGTACTCCAACTTTGTTTTTCATTTTTAAAATCCATGCCTATCATCTAATCTATCCATTTTCTTGATCGCAGATTTTGCCTACTTTTGGTTCTGGATTGGATTAACCATTCAGTCAGATGGACGCTTCATTTGGAGACATTCACAACAACCCCTAAATGGGTCAGTTTATTGGTTGCCAGGGCAACCAGATAATGCCACTGGGAATCAAAACTGTGTCTACATGAGGAATCATGGTGGTAAATTTCTTTGGGATGACATAGACTGTATGACAGACTTTATCGAATTCATTTGTCAGTCTGATGTTGTTTAAAGCTCACGAGCAAAATCCCTGTTTTTTTTCCAGATATAATGCCATATATAAAACATATTCACTAAATAAATTAATTCTGCTGATTCACAGCTCCTTAACTTTACTGCTGTGTATGCATACCTCCATGATTTTTTCAACTGTTAAATTTTTGGAGTGTGTCTCATTATAGGCAGATTGAAACATTTCTAATGTTGTGTATCCATGATCAGAAATCAAGCATGGCAGAAACTTGAGATCTGATCTATCATCTCCCAGTCCAATTAGAAAATTGATTTTTGATGGTGTAACTCCAGATTTTTGAGCAACCATGCCTAAATATACATCATCCTCTCGAAAATGAGGAATATATGGCATCAATTTTTGAATTTTTCGGATGACAGCCTTGCTAAAAAATACTGTTCCAGACGGTATGTATGGAGGGAAGCAATCCAATGGATAATCCTGTCGGGATATGTAATGTTTATTAAAGTAATCTCTTGTGGGAAATGGTTTTTCCACTACAAGTCCACTGTAAAGATTCTCCACTTTTCTTTCATCCACAGAATGAAGATATTTTAGAGTATTTGGCATATTCAGATACATATCATCATCCACGAATACAGCATATTTGGCATTACTACAATATTTAGTTATCCAGTTAAATGCCATTTCCATTTTGTATGTGTTGCTCCAATATCCATCTTGAAAATTTTCTTGAATGATGTCATTAAACTGTCTAGACTCTGATTCTACTTGTGTTTGGTCTTCTTCATTGTATCCCAGGATAAAAACCAGTCTCCTATTCCCCGAGTTACTCTCCCTTCCCCAGGTCTGTCTAATGCAGTGTCTCTTGTATGAGTTTTTAGTTGCGGACTTTACCACTGCTAAAAGATATACCTCTGGAATGGTATTACACAAGGACTCTGCTAAAAGTTTGAACTTATATGGGTGAATATTAATGGGACTGATGGTTATATTGTCTAAATTGTCAAACTTATATTTGGAATATCCATAGTCTTTGCTGCATGTGTAGATGTAACTTTCGTACACCATGTGTCCAAAGTAACAAACGCTTATAATGCAGAATACTGAAAGGCTAAGGAAAAGCCGATTCAAATTCCTTATTTTTGAGTAACTAGAGATGAGGTTATGAATTCGCATAGTTGGGACTAGCCTGAGGGATCTGTAAAAGATAATCAAGACAATCAATTAACAATCAAATGTTTGTGCTTTTGAAAATGATAAGAATCCATCATTCCAACTCCAACCAAATGCTGCTAAAATTGTAATAAACTGAAAGTAGATGATGTATTATCACATGGAATTTCTTATTTTGTATTAATATGAAAACATTATGCATGATATCTGCAGTTTTTTAGCAAGTCTAGTATGTATTTGATATGATAATATCTTTACTGTGAATTACAAAGTAGTGGTAATGGTTTCAAGTGCTTGCTGGATAACTCAATAGGGTATGATATATCTAGCAATGAGTTGTACCTGTTTTTTCCATTCATTTTTCAATTGTTATAATTTGATGCTAGTCACAACTTGGACATATTCTAAATATTTGTATCTTGAATTATGCACTGAAGGAAAAAATGAAATAGGATTTTCGGGTTTGGACAATTTTCAATTTCTTTTTTTTTTTTTGCTTGTCAAGTTTTTTTCAGTTTTTCAGTTTTTTTCTCTTTCAATTAGCCCCCCACCCCCACCCCCTTCAATTTGCTTCCAACGCCTATGCAATATATCAAAAAGAGCACAACCGCTGATCCAAAATTTGCAATTATATACTTATAGAACTATTTCAATCTGAAGATTATAAAACATGATTCAATTTTTGGATCACAGAGAACATTGCATTTTCACAAAGCCTGTTTTCAATACCTGGGCTGCTTTCAGAGGAAACTTTGTTGTAGGAAATGAAAGAACTAAGTCTCTACTTTATATTGATGCTTGAAATGTGACACAGAGTGTTAGTCAATTTACTGGTATATATTTATGCATATAGTGAACCTAGCTCTTTAACAATTGATAGGGAACAGAGGGCTATATCCTTAAATAATATTTTATGTCTATATATATGGACACATTTTCAAACACTTATTAAATTATAAATGCCTTACATGCATCCCACATTGGCATTAGTTGTCCCAGTAGTCTGTTGTTAATTAGGAAGTGATCCTAAATTTTTAAACTGTCATCTACAAACCTGAATTCAAAAACTGACTCAAAGAATTATGGTCAGTCAATCCAATTTTGTGTATCAGGTTGCTTTAATAACTAATACAAGAGGCCCATGGGCCACATCGCTCACCTGAGCACATTGGCTAGGCAAAAGCACAAATCAGTTCAGTATTGAAAAGACCGGGACCGGGGGGGGGGGGGGGGGGGGGGGGGGGGGGGGGAGGCTTGAATTTTAAACTACCTGATGATGCTTCCATGTCAATGTAACAAATGGCTTTGTTGTACTTGAGAAGATTTTTTAAAAAAATTCCCATATATTCTTTTGTAAAAATTTGATCCCCCATTGTGGCTCCTCCCTATCCCAGGGGTCATCATTTGAACAAACTTGAATCTACACTACCTGAGGATGCTTCCATATAAATATGACTAAACATAGCTTTTCTGTTCTTGAGAAGAAAAATTTCTTCTTTATGTTCTTATGTTAAACTTTCCATTCCCCATTGGGCCCCACCCTACCCCTGCGGGTCATCATTTGAACAAAATTGAATCTACACTACCTGAGGATGTTTCCATATAAAAATGACTAATCATGGTTTGCAGTTCTTCAGAAGAAGAAATTTTCCTTTATATTCATTTGTAGAACTTTGATCCTCCATTGTGGCCCCACCCTACCCCCGGGGGTCATGGTTTGAACAAACTTGAATCTACACTACCTGAGGATGCTTCCATATAAATATGACTCATCATGGCTTTGCTGTTCTTGAGAAGATGATTTTTAAAGATTTTTCCTATATATTTCTATGTAAAACTTTGATCCTCCATTGTGGCCCCACCCTACCCCCAGGGGTCATGATTTGAACAAACTTGAATCTACACTACCTGAAGATGCTTCCATATAAATATGACTCATCATGGCTTTGCTGTTCTTGAGAAGAAGATTTTTAAAGATTTTTCCTATATATTTCTATGTAACACTTTGATCCTCCATTGTGGCCCCACCCTACCCCCAGGGGTCATGATTTGAACAAACTTGAATCTACACTACCTGAAGATGCTTCCATATAAATATGACTCATCATGGCTTTGCTGTTCTTGAGAAGAAGATTTTTAAAGATTTTTCCTATATATTTCTATGTAAAACTTTGATCCTCCATTGTGGCCCCGCCCTACCCCCGGGGGTCATGGTTTGAACAAACTTGAATCTACACTACCTGAGGATGCTTCCACATGAATATGACTCATCATGGCTTTGCTGTTCTTGAGAAGAAGATTTTTAAAGATTTTTCCTATATATTTCTATGTAAAACTTTGATCCTCCATTGTGGCCCCACCCTACCCCGGGGGGTCATGATTTGAACAAACTTGAATCTACACTACCTGAGGATGCTTCCACATGAATATGACTCATCATGGCTTTGCTGTTCTTGAGAAGAAGATTTTTAAAGATTTTTCCTATATATTTCTATGTAAAACTTTGATCCTCCATTGTGACCCCGCCCTACCCCCAGGGGTCATGATTTGAACAAACTTGAATCTACACTACCTGAGGATGCTTCCATATAAATATGACTCATCATGGCTTTGCTGTTCTTGAGAAGAAGATTTTTAAAGATTTTTCCTATATATTTCTATGTAAAACTTTGATCCTCCATTGTGGCCCCGCCCTACCCCCGGGGGTCATGATTTGAACAAACTTGAATCTACACTACCTGAGGATGCTTCCACATGAGTTTCATCTTTCCTGGCCCTATGGTTCTTGAGAAGAAGATTTTTAAATGATGCCATTATTTTTTCAGTAATTCCTAATTATCTTCCCTTGAAAGAGGGCGTGGCCCTTCATTTGAACAAACTTGAATCCCCTTTACCCAAGGATACTTTGTGGCAAGTTTGGTTGAAATTGGCCCAGTGGTTCTTGAGAAGAAGTCGAAAATGTGAAAAGTTTACAGACAGACAAACAGACGGACAGACAGACGGACTGACAGACAAACGGACAGACAGACGGATGCCAGACAAAATGTGATCAGAAAAGCTCACTTGAGCTTTCAGCTCAGGTGAGCTAATAAAGAAAAACCTCTAGAACAATCTCTTAAAAGGACTACATTCTGTAATGACCAAAATCTGCTTTAAAATCTTTTTTTTTTCAACTTTCAAGGAGAATTTTTTTTCTAAACCAAGGGGATATTTGGAGGACCTCAAAGCTTAAATATTTTCATCAATCATGATGTTGACACTAAAAGTTAGATACAATATGTGTGAGGTCAACAAAATATTTAACTTAAAAATTAACTTTTGATACAATGTGTACTAGAATGAAATATACCAATGAAATATGTAAATATACATGTGTTACATTAAATGTTTAAATTTAAATAAGTTTAAACTTATCTATCTATAACTTAGGTATTGTAACACATGTGGTACATGTAGTATCAGAACAAGTTTGCCCTCTGTGAAAAATTTCATCAAAACTGAACAAACTTTGTGCATTTTGCCCTTAGTCTTTTTTTTTTTAAGTAACATACATTAAGTCCAAATAGTTTTTGACATATAAGATAGAGAATGTCAATAATTTTCTTCAATCAACAATATACTTTGTTAATTCAGATTTTTTAAATTCAGTTTTTACAATTGTGCACATTTCAAGAGATTTATAAAATTTGACTTTTATGGGAACAGGAACATGCCTTTACTGTACACAGTTCTTTCAATCAATTTTTTTGCAATGCTTCTTGTCCATGATGCCCTTGTTTTTATTTGTTAAATCATTGACTACATGACCATTTTAAATGTCTGGATACTTAATTGAGTCATGAAAAAGAAATATAATAAGGTGCATATATTATTTTTGAAGTTGTCAAATCTCTGAAGCAACAAAAAAGTACCCACATTATACATTGTTATATGCAGGAAATCCATTTATCAATGAAAGAGTATTTGTCATGAAAAATATTTCTAATAGGAGCAAAATATTGCTTTACTTATAGCTTAATACCTTTGAAAATCCATATTAAGGAAAACAGATCCTCATAAACATTGAAATCAAATTTACCTGTAAAATCTAATACCACACCTGAGTAACACATTGAAATCAACTCAAATTTACCTGTAAAATCTAATAGCACACCTGAGTAACATCATGACTAAGATTTAAACCTAATGCGACTCCTGGCAAACCAAACTGTTTCTTTTGTTGAGCTATCCAGGAAGCATTATTGAAAACACTATCACTCTTTTGTAATTCGCTGTAAAAAATAGTGTTAACTGTTAAATAGAGTAAATAAATTGTGCAGTACAGGTAATGATAAACACAACATACATATAAAAAACATTTTGATGAAAAATGTGCTAAATTTTGTTTGAGTCAAAAGTGGCATGATTTATATTAAAACCATCATGCTGCCATTATATATAATATATTAATTAACAATACAAGGATGTACACACACTGACGGATACATACAGTACATATTACATAGGTCTAGTACAATTAGTACATTTAGCTAGTCATAGCTAGAATTGCTGCGTTTGAACACTTTTAAGCAAAAGATGTATTTTCATTGTTTCAATAGCTGTATACCACTTTGTGAGCGGTGAAGCATGGATAAGTATGATTACTTCACATTGTGCTGAATAATTACCAATCAATTATCATGTTAACAAATACTGGTCTTCTTTGTTATTTCATTCAAGAAGTAACTGTTTGGTCACAAATTAACTGTTGTATATAGCCCCAAAACTTTTAGAACTTTGGTTGCAATTGCGCAGAAAAAGACACATTTTCAAGAGTGATTTTTTCATGAATTATTTTCAGATTAGTTTAAAGTTGAAAATTATCACTGCACTGCGATTTTCTGCACATCCAGAGAAAAATGCTAATTTAAGAAATGTTTGATTTAGTAGCTAAATAAAGCTACTTCAGGTAGGAAAATAAAGCTATATAGGTAATTCAAGTTACGTAGCTAAATCTAATGATGGGACCAGACCTGTTACACACTGTATCAAGGACACGTGGTGTTTGCTGCCAAATCGTAATTGAGTTCAATATTAATTATATAGATAAATATACATTCATTTGCAGACTATGGAATGCTAATCATTCTTACTTAAATTTATTTGATATACCTTAAACAAAGCCACAAACCTCGCTCATTCGTTCAATACTTTGTCACCACCACATATGTACACAATAAATCGAAAGTGGAACTATAACCCAAACCGTTTCGTCAAAGCATCCGGAATAATGTACCTAGTCCTAGGAACTGATGATTGAACTAAATTTAGACCCTGGTTTTTATGCCCCCGTGATCGAAGATACGGAGGCATATAGCTTTTGCCCTGTCCGTCCGTCCGTCTGTCTGACTTTCTGCCTGTCTAGCTGTCAGTCTGTCTGTCTAGTCTGTTTGTCCGCAAAAACTTTAACCTTGCTCGTAACTTTTGATTGGTAAGAGCTATGGCTTTCATATTTCACATGTGTATTCCTTGCGACAAGAGCTTTCTTTGGGTACCACCAATTTTAACCTTTTGACCTTGGAGTCTGACCCACTTTTGCAAAATTTTATCAGACTTTAACCTTGGCCATAACTTTTGAACAGTTGGTGCTAGGGCTTTCAAACTTCACATGTGTATTCCTTGTGACAAGACCTTCCTTCAGATACCAACAACTTTGACCGTTTGACCTACTTTGGAAAAGCTTTAACCTTGGCCATAACTTTTGAACAGATAGTGCTAGTGCTGTCATACTTAATTCACATGTGTATTCCATGTGACAAGACCTTCCTATCGATACCAATAACTTTGATCCTTGACCTTGGAGTATGAGCTACTTTTTGAAAAACTTGAACCTTGGTCATAACTTTTGAAGAACTGGTGCTAGGGCTTTCAAACTTCACATGTGCATTCCTTGTGACAAGACCTTCCTTCAGGTACCAACAACTTCGACCGTTTGACCTTGACCTTGGAGTTTGACCTACTTTTGAAAAACTTTAACCTTGGCCATAACTTTTGATCAGATGGTGCTAGGGCTATCATATTATACTTCACATATGTATTCCCTGTGACGATTTTTTTTATCTTTTGACCTGGAGTTTGATTTGCATGTGAGAAACTTTAACCTTCGCCAAAAGCTGCCATACGAGGGCATCAGTGTTTCACAAACACATCTTGTTTTTAATGGGGGCGTGGATAGAGTACTCAACACAAGTCATATTTTTTTTGAGTGTATGTCGACTGCAGAGTAGAGCGACACTTCGGGATCACTTTACCCGGCGTCTGTCTGTTTGTCCGTCCGTCTGTCACACCTTAGATCTCGAGAATTAACTGTAAGACGTATGAATGCATGTTATATAGCTTGTCATTTTTCCTAAAATGCTGAAGAGCCATATATGGTGACATGAAAATTGCTAGTTGATTTCAATTTGCTTGATAATTAATTGTCAATCTGAAATATAAAGTCGTTTGAAGTTTGTTGAACAAGCAAATTCAAAGAGTTGTGATTCTCCGCTTTAGCTGTCTTAGTGGATGGGGTGACATTATTTATAGCATATTGTAATTGTCTTGGTCAAACTTCAAGGTCAAGATCAAGGGGTCAAAAATTATAGTACATTTGGAAAGGTCTTACCACAGGCAATGTACATGATAAATATGGAAGCCCTATCCCTTCTTAATCAAAAGTTATAAGCAAAGATTAAATTTTTGAAAAGTAGTTCAAACCTCAAGGACAAGAGGTCAAAAACCGTAGTAATTTGGAAAGGTCTTGTCACAGGTAATGTACTTGTGCATTATGAAAGCCCTACCTTTTCTCATTCAAATTTTATAGCCAAGTTAAAGTAATGTTTAAATTTTTGAGAAAAAAAGTAGGTTAAACTTCAAGGTCAAGGTCACGGGGTCAAAAATCATAGTAAATTTAACAAGCAAATTCAAAGAATTGTGGTCCCCCGCTTTCGGTGTCTTAGTGGATGGGATGCCATTATTTATGGCATATTGTGTCAAATATGTACGCCCTATCATATTTTATGCAAAAGTAATAACTTAAATTAAAATTTCTAAAATTTAGGTCAAACATGAGGGTCGAGGGGTCAAAAATTAAAGCATGCTCGGAAACATCTTGTTACAGGCAATGCACATGTCAAATATGAAAGCCCTATCTCTTCTCTATCAAAAGTTATAAGGAAAGATAACATTTTTGAGAAGTTGGTCAAACTTCAAGGTCAAGGTCACATGGTCAAAAATCATAGTGTATTTAGAAAGATCTTGTCAGAGGTAATACACATGTGAAATATGAAAGCCATATCTTTTCTCATTAAAATGTTATGACCAAGGTTAAAAGTTTTGAAAAGAAGGTCAAATTTCAAGGTGAAGGTCACGGGATCAAAAATCATAGTGCATTTAAAAAGGTCTTGTCACAGGTAATACACATGTGTAATATAAAAGCCCTACCTTTTCTCTTTCAAAAGTTATGGCCAATTTAAAGTAATGTTTAAACTTTTGAAAAGGAGGTCAAATTTCAAGGTCAAGGTCACAGGATCAAAAATCATAGTGTATTTAGAAAGGTCTTGTCACAGATAATACACATGTGTAACATGAAAACCCTATCTCTTCTCATTCAACAGTTATGACCAAGGTTAAAGTTTTTGTGACAGACGGACAGACTGATAGACTTACAGACTGACAGACGAATGAGATTTAATTTCCCCTCGCTTTCGCGAAAGCGGGGGACAAAAAGGTCTTGTCACAGATAATGTGCATGTCAAATATGAAAGCCCCATCTCTTCTTAATCAAAAGTTATAAGCAAAGATTAAATTTTTGAAAAGAAGGTCAGTCTTCAAGGTCAAGGTCATGGGGTGAAAAGTCTAGTATATTTAGAAAGGTCTTGTCAAAGGTTATATACTTGTTTAATATGAAAGCCCTATTTCTTCTCATTCAAAAGTTATGACCAATTTAAAGTAATGTTAAAATTTTTGAAAAGTAGGTCAAACTTCAAGGTCAAGGTCACGGGGTCAAAATTCATAGTATATTTAAAAAGGTCTTGTCACAGGTAATGCACATGTGAAATATGAGGCCATATCTCTTCTCATTCCAAAGTTATGACAAAGGCTAAAGTTTTTTGACAGATTGACAGACGGACAGACTGACAGACGAATGAGATTTAATGTCCCCGCGCTTTCGCGAAAGCGGGGGACAGAAAGAAAAAATTGTGCCCAGCTATGACATCTTACTAGCAAATTGCATGTTAGATTATTTTGTTTGTAAGATATTTTAACATGCAACTTACTTAATATTGCTAACATGCGACTTTCTTACATGTAGTATGAACATGAAACTTAGATATTGTAAGTTATACTTATGATTATCTTGTCTTTTTTGTATAATGCACAGACAAGACAGGGCACACAAACAAGACAGTTACAATATGCCATAAATAATGGCATCCCATCCACTAAGACACAGAAAGGGGGTACCTGACAATTCTTTGCATTTGCTTGTTTTACCAGATTTGTCAATTTTTGGACCACTGGGTCAAGGGTTTTGGTGTTGGGCAGGGCTCTTTTGATCCTTTAGGGAAAGTTGCGCTCTGCTTTGAGAGAGGTTATTGTTCCTCGCTTTCGCGAAAGCGAGGGGACATTAAATCTCATTCGTCTGTCAGTCTGTTTAGCTGTCTGTCTTTCTGTCTGTCCGTCTGTCACAAAAAACTTTAATCTTGGTCATAACTTTGGAATGAGAAGAGAAGGGCTTTCATATTTCACATGTACATTACCTGTGACATGACCTTTTCAAATATACTATGATTTTTGACCCCGTGACCTTGACATTGAAGTTTGACCCACTTTTGAAAATTTTTAACATTTCTTTAAATTGAGGAGTTTACGTTTTTTTTTTGTTTTTTGTTTTTTTGCTTGTCAAGAAATTTCTGGGTTGGATTTTTTAGACTGGCGTGGACCCCCCCCCCCCCCAAACAATCCTGGATCCGAACCTATAATGCCTGAACCCATAATGCAGTTCAACTCATTTAGCTGATTGGTCGGTTTGTAAGTCACGTTGATGCCTCATTTAGCATGTAAATTTATTCTGCTGTCACAGAAAATAGTTTCCTTGACCTGTTAAAGCTTTTATCTTTTATTAAAATTAATTTTCTTAGTCAATTGGCATTTCCCTTTTGACTTTAAAATCAAATCAAAACAAATCAAAATTGAAAGACACTTGTCTTACTGCTACTACTGGTAATGTTCTAGAACGTCAGTTTGATCTGGTGTGCCAGAAAAAAGAGAAAAATATCAAACCGCTCATTGTCATCGTATATACATGTACGAGGGGTGATCAAAAAGTTCGCGAACTACATGTATCTCTATATTTACAAAACCACACTTCAAATCAGAATGGAATATGGCACACACATAGTCATAAACATGTTCTATAAGTAGCAGATGTTATGTAATATTTTGCTCCATGTTTATGACGTCACATTGTGCAAATGACGTCAATATGTAGATAACTTGTGACAGAAAATGGTTGACTCAGTCGTACTCGTGCAAGGAACGGCTGTAATGTTTAAGGTATAACTTGGAAATTCCTGTGTAGTAGAATATAAAAATTTGTACAAGATAAATGAAGACAAAGGACTTGCTAGAAGTTCAATCATTAATTGGATATTTAAATTGTTTTAATGAAGGAAGGGAGGTGGTTAAAATGATGTTTGCTCTGGTGCCCAGTGGAAGTAAGCTGGGGAAAAGATGTGTCCTTAGTTGAACAATTTGTTATGGTAGCTCTCCAAGTTACAGTTAGAAAAATAGTTGAATATCTTAACAATGAAATAATTATTAAATCCCTAAAACATCATTTACTTTAGACTTTAAACATAACAGATATGATAAAGAGAAGGCACCCATACGTGATCCACATTGGATAAACGACGCATCAAAGACAGAGGAGTCGGATTGTGATGGTCACTATGCTCATTCTGGGAAAGGATATCCTTATCCACCCATCCTATTTCCGAGATTTGGCCATTTGTGACAAATGGAGTATTCTTGTTATAAAAAATAACCTGCAAGATTTTATCCGCTCAAATGTCCGAAAAACTTTTGAATATTTTCGATTTCTTCTGATGAACGGCTTAACCAAGTCTAACCAATTTTGGTATATAGCACCTTTGCGTTAAGGGAAAGAATACTTGTGAATTTCATGGTCCTTTCCTGAAGCCTGAGAGATGCAGTGAAAAACCATCAAAATTAATGCAATTTTCAAAAATCTTCTTTATTTCTGGACACCACGCGCTCAAACTGTTGACTTGATTTTAACAAACAATTATAGGTCTTTTACCAAAATTGTGAAATCCATGACCACTGGGTTAGGAGTTCTTGTGTTAAGACGGAACCCTATTAATTATGTGGTAAAATGCATTATATGTCTTTGTTTATTACTCTCAAACCATACAATGGTATTTGAGGTATATTGTACATGAACATATTTATATAATACAAAATACAAAGTCATGTCAGGAAGAGTAGTATAAAATAATAGAGTACATGTATTACTGAAAACAGACCAATATTTCTTTTAACAAACAAAGAGAGCTTTATCAATGAATCGACGTTTGAGGTGGATGTAATTATAAGAGTCTCAAATTTATAATTATTAACATGAGAATATTTCTTATCAATAAGTTTCCTACGAAATGAAAAAAATGGACAATCCATTACGTAATGGAATTCATCAACTAAAGAGCTTTTATTACAAAAGTTACATATTCTCTGAAAATCTTCTCTGCTCCTTGGTTTGAAATAAACAAACTAAATGCATGGTTACATGTATGATGAACAGGAATGCCTCTTCCAAACGTGTGAAATTCGCTGTCCCTGCGTCAGAGGTTCTGGTATTAAGACGGGGTTTTATTTATTAGATAGTGAAAATGTATTATTTCATCAAAATTGTCTTCTCTGTCGATGGTTATTTTGCAAACATATTAAGCGGATGATTATGATGAGCCAGGATGCCTCCTCCAAAATCGTGAATTTCACGGCACCAGCAAGGATCGAGTCAGCGGCTCTGGTGTTAGGGTGAGGCTCTATTGATTTTATCATTTAAAATGCATTTTTTTTGAAAATCTTCCTCTCTGCTCCTGGGTATTTAGGAAGCAAACAGAATGCGTAGTACGTTGTAATGAGCAAGGGAATTTTTACTGATTTGTGAAGTTCTGCATGGTGCTTGGCTTGGCTCTATTGATCTTTTGGGGGAATTTATGCTCTACTGATAGAAGTTATTCATTTAATCCTTGTAAATAATGTAATTGATAAGTCAGTTGAATTAAAGAATTAAAAAAAAAGATATAAAGAACTTTTTAATGTACAATACAAAAAATACTTTTATAGTTTTTAATACTTATGTAAAATTGTAAACAATAGATAAATAAATATGATACAAAAATATCTTTTTTCTGTACATTAAATCTTCGAAGACCAATTAAAAGAGGGCAGTGTATGAGGGATCGAATAAGATGGGTTTACTGTGTGTACTCAAGCACTCCTGTGTTGTTCATAGTGTGCATGGTGATATGATAGTGTCTAATGAGAATAACTATATACATGTAAATCTGCTTGAAATGTTTTATTACTGAGTATTTGACTAACTATTTTGTTGATCCCTGATCACCCTATTTCTCTTGCCTTTGGGCAACATATCTTTATCTATCAGTTTATTATTTTTTTTATTTCATACAATATGTTGTTTGACCCATGCAACTGAAATAATCAACAAATTCAGATAAAATAGAAATTGGTGTTTGTATCCTTAAATTTTTCGCTATCCCTCGACAAAAGTAATCAGAGTCATTCTAACTTCCTTATTGGAGTAATGTGTAAATATAAACACTCCGTAATTACAGATGATTATCAGTTTCGATCAAGAGAATTAATTACGCAAAACAATATTTTATATATATATATATATATATATATATATATATATATATATATATATATATATATATATATATATATATATATATATATATATATATATATATATATATATATATATATATATATACATGTATATATAAAACTTTCAGGACATTGAGATGAATTATGAGGATTTCAAGAAGGGCATGAATTTGTATACTTCATATTCGAATACTACATGTATGTACTGTTATGACATCCCGTTGACTAAGGCCCAGTTTCCTTTCGTTTCACACAGGGAAGTTTATTCTTTGAAGTAAAACTCTTAAGCAACTAACAGGGCATATTTTGATTAAAGCTACTCATAATCCCAGTTTTATAAAAAATGAAAAAGGAACTTTTATTTCTCTTAACCATCGTTTTCTGGATTTACCGAATATCAACAGATAGCGAATTTTCAGGTAATGAAAAATACAATTTCATACTTATTTTATAACACATCTACGACGTACGTATTATCTAAACAATAAAATGCTTTCTTTGTTCATTTTTCAAGCATTGAATTCTTATTTTGGATGTCGTCGGTGATATAACGGCACCTGACCGTGCCGAAAAATTGAATTCCGCGCGGTGGTACAATGTATAACATCTCATATCGAATTCAAAAGTATTTTTGATAGGTCTTTTGAATGGACCTCAGAAGCATTTCGATAACCCCTATTTAAACTAAAATGAGAGGTGCTGGTTGATAAATAAGTAGTTGATAAAATTGTAATAATTATTGTAAATCTAATTCATATCGACCCCGAAATTAATTTTGATGACTATTAATATACCGAGGTAATGTTGGACAATGCAGTATTAATCGTTTCCTGTAATTACAATGTAATAGTAAAATATGAAGGAGATTTTCAGTATTTCTTTTCAGTCCAGACAACTTGCACACCACCACACAACTGGCGTGATGAAATTCAAATCAACTGTGCAGTATGTGGCTTCAGTGACAATGATTTTTTGCATTTCGAAGTAGAATGGCATCTTCAAAAAAATCTTAGTATTACAAGTCCAGCTAAAAGTACACCTGGTAATCCAGAAGGAAACAACACAAAGTACTGGTGGGAATTTATTACGTTAACATCTGATGGAGACTACGAAGGAAACAAGACAGTCTTTAAATTAGTTGACAAAAGTAAGGAAAACCAAAAATGACTCCCATCACTTACCATTTTTTCATAATCTCTATGAATATTCTTAAAATGGCTAATTTTTTTAAATCCAAAATGCATTATATATCTTTAAAAAAGATTTAAAAGTAATTATGATTTTTTTCTTTACACTTTGTTTGAAGTATACTGAGGCAGCTTCATATTTACATTTAAACAACACTCTGTGTATGAAGTAATTAAATACTGTCTTATATACATTGGCTTCTTTACAGATCCTACTTCCTTGTCACTCGGCATTTACACTTGTTATGTAACTCTAAACAAAAACATGACTAAACATAGCAGCGTCGATCTTTCATGTAAGTAAAGCAACATATAAGTGTTGATTTTTTCTCTCAACATGACAGTTTTTTTTTCTTCACTTTAGGACAACAGTAATTTTTTTCTATTTTCATTAGTACGTAAAGTACCAAATTTTTATTTCATATCATCTGATAATTACTACTCATGCACACGTTTTGTTTCTATTTTTTAGCTGGAGAGGAAGACACATCATCAAATTATATTCTGATTAACGTCACAAATGTTCCAGTGGGAGAAATCACAGAAAATTGCAGAAAATATGGATATAATGTATTAATGAATGAGTCTGTGGCAAAATCTGTACGACTGCGTGAAAAAGAAAGTGTGTATTTCCCTGTTTGTCCCAGTATTCAAATAAATAACAAAAGTATCGCTGTTTGCAAACCATGGATTTCTAGAATAGGTACTTTAAAAATATATATTCATACACTTAAAAGCATTAATTGTAAAAAATATTTGTTTACTAACTTTGTCGTGGTCTCGTTTTGTTCATGAGTTTCTTTATTCAATTTGTTTCTGTATTGTATATTTATATATTTTGTATATTCCTCTCTCTTTTTGCTTGTTTTATTTCAGTTGTTTTATTTTAAAACAATCTTATCATTTTATATCAGGATGCTACAATATCACAGTGGATATGATAGCTAATTCTACGGAGATGGATTGTAGGAACATCAACATAACGAATTGGAATAAATCGCTTCCACTCATAGGAAACACGGTATGAGCTTTTTTTTCTTTATACATGTAGTAGGTTTTTCGCTAAAAAAAATAATTTGCTGCATCCATGAACAAGCTAAAGAGTTTATATTCCCTAGAGAAAAGTGCTAAAGATATACATGGTAATTATACATGCAATGTATGCTGAATGAATAAAAACAGTAGAAAAGTCTTCTTTTGTAGAAGCCATTCTACTTGAAAGCATTTTTTTTGGGTAAAAGTCAAATTTGTAAATAATATTTGCTTGACTGACTGAAAAATAATCTGCCTCACTAGCTAACAATGTTGAATTGTCAATGGTTCTTTGTAATTTGCTTTGAAAAAGATCTTTTGAGAGTATATATTTTGGTAAGCATGTAACAATTTAATTATATTTTGTTAAAGCATTAAAAATGCATTGCTTTGTTGTTGTTGTTGTCTTCTGAGCTATGTGAAACAGCAATGGTGACGCTTTCTGTTAACATGAACTACTCAGTCTGCCTGAGTCGATGTAAAAAATGTTATAGCAGAATTTTCATTGTTTATGTTCTTCATAATGGCTAATTCCTGATTGGTCTTTATTTTAAGACAATAGAATGTGGGATTTAGTTTTAAACACTTTTTCATAGAAAAATCCAGTTATTGAAATGGTGAAAAGTCGGGCGAGTGGCTGTCAAAAGGGTGCATCATTAATATATTTGTCCGGATAACATCTCCTACAGTTTTTAAGATGTTTTTTTTTGCAGATCAGTTATACATATATCAGAGACGTGCATAGTGCTTAATAATTTTTGAGAATAATACCAGCTGTAAAACGTTTTTTTTTTCTCAAAATACTCGGGGTATTGCGTAAAGGGTACAGCATTTGTCCGAGTAACTCCTCCTACAGTTTTCAAAATAGGAAGTTCCTTTTTAGCCTAGAAGAATAATTGTATATGTATCACAAATGTGCATTTTTTTTTAATTTGGTTTTGAATTTTCGTAATTTATGAGTTAAAACAAGTTGTTGAACGTCGTCATTTTAATGCAAAACATATTCATACGGTGAATTGATATTGTTGGGATGTCACCTCCTACAGTTTTCAGAAAAGAAAATTTTTAAAATTTATATGAGAAACACCAATACTGTTCACACACAGTAGAAAAAACGACTTGCTATCAAACTGACAAATTTCCCCTAGTTTTATTTTAATATTTGCTCACTTTCACTAAGCACACAGCAGCTGTAAAGTGAGTATTTTCTTGAGTGATATAGTACATGTAGTTAGAAGCACTTAAGTAGTCTGAAATTTGTCTTAAGTTATTAAGCAGCCTTTTGTGATACCTGATACAAAAATATGTTTTGTTGATGTTAATTGTTTCGACTGTTTTAGTTTAACAATGAAACTAAGTTTATATTTATATCCACAAATTTCCCTGTAGTGAGAGGAGACAATTCTGGCTATTCGCAGCTTGTTTTGCATAACCTCTTATATATAGTATTAAGAAAGAAACATTGAGTGAAAATATCGTTTACTGAAACTAATAAATGACTAAAACTACATTTAAATATTACATAGACTTATATAACAATTAATTGGCTCGGCTTAAAACAAAATATATAGTACATACAAATTGACTAGTTAAACATGCTGACTAGTCACATGACATAATTCTTACTAATCACATGACAAAAATAGCCCAGCCAATAGTATAAATGGTAAAAAACACTTAAGAAGCAAAAAGGTGGTGCACAAAAAAGCCTGTGCACAAAAGGAAATAAATGTTAAAACATACAAATAATAACAAACATCAAACTATACATTTTTCATAATCAAAAATATACAAATTAAATGAGGTAGATTGCAAGTATTACACAAAAGGGCGGTGGAGGGGAAGAGGTGGTTGCTGGAAAATTCCGTGGCTTCTTCTCCGATTGAAAATGGCTAGAGTGAATTAACCACGTGATATGTATAACCTCATCTGATTGGTCAATACCGTAAAAACCAAGTAGTAAGTGCAAGGGGCACCCAAAAGGATAACAATTAAATAATAAATTACATAAGTTATTGGTAATACAAAAATTTTGCATATAAAACAATTTACTGTACCAATAAATGTTTATTTATTATAATACAGTGATTTAGATAACGGCGTCTGTGGCGTAATCGGTAGCGCGTCGGACTGACAATCTAGGGGTCGTGAGTACGATCCCCGGCGTGGGCGTAGCCTGGTTCCCTGTCTCATCCTTGCCAAGGCACTAGTGTCGCGGAGTATACGAAGCATAACAGGGACAGGGAACCAGACTAACGTGGGCGCTGTGGGATTTTCTGCAGAAAAAGAAGCCGTGCAATATTTCGGCATAGTTTGCTTACGCTATATAAATCCTTTAAACACTATGCGATAATAGTTGGGTATTGATTATATAGAGACAAACTGATAGGAAGCATAATTATTGAATGTTTTACTGACTATAGACATAAGGGCCAACTAACGACAAAGGAGATAACTTCAGCTTTTTCATCGTTAAACTTTCCATGATTATTTAGTTATCTTCGACTATCACTTGCATATCATGTTTACGTATCTCAGCTTATCCGATATTCAAGAGCATGCTCTGAGTAAGATCATTTTTTTCTGTCAGACTTCTGACAGATAAGTTAATGTTACAGGGATTTCAACAACCTCGCTTAGAGCCAGCATTTGTTAGCAAATGACCTTGTTAGCAAATGTATCCTCTCATTGGGTCCTATTTTGACTGGCATACACCAATTGTTCTAAGCCTTTGTTTTTATACTAAAGGAGATGGGTAAACATGACGAGCGATAAGCCTATAGTGTGACAAACATGAAGATGAAAAATTAAATTTCAATTATATCAAAATTTTCCTTGATATTTCGTCTAACATTAAAATATACTTTATGTAAAATCTCTACAATTTGCAAAAATACCTCAAAGATTGAAGTTATATGCCTGTGAAATATTAGACACACACCAAAGCGGGCAAAAAGAGTCATTTTTGCATACTATAGCACTATTTTTCGATATGACTGGGTCTTCGCTCCACCTTTTTGAAAGTTAATCCTCAAAGTTTTCATAAAAATATACATTTTTTGGTTACCAAAAATATGGAGCAATGACCCACTATACCTTAAAAATATACTTTTATGACATAACATTCGCTTCTTTTCGAGAAATACTTGAAGTCCATTAAGTCAAGGGTCATATCACAAACATGATTTAAATGCCACTGTTCGACAGGACTTGTGTAGTCTAGTGGTTAGCGTGCTAGTCTCGAAAGAAAATTATATTCAGGATTTTTATTGCTAGGATTCGAACCCCATGAATACCACATTAATTTTTTTAATAAAAGAACACATTTTGCCGAGAAAATTTTCCTCAGAAAAGTTTTGTTTATCACAATTTCATAAATTTCAATAATGAGAACTTTACTCTAAATATTAAATTCACAAACTGAACATTATTTTTATATTTCTGAAGCTATAGGCTTTCTGCACGCTATGTTCGCCCATCTCCTTTGACTACGGAATGTTCCGTCTACCTAATCAATACATAGGGCTTATGGCGGGTGTAACGGGTCAACAGAGGATGCTTACTCCTCCTAGGCACCTGATCCCACCTCTAAAATTTCCGGAGTCCTTGATTTATTCCCTGTTCACAGATTTGTATTGTTTGTAGATTTTTTGGAGATTGTTCACTGTTTGTTATCTTCACCTTTCTCATTGAACTCTTCCCGTCATATTTTTACCCTGGGAGAGCTACAAACTTGGTGCCTAAATCAAACTACAATGGATCTGGATACGAATGATGGGTGGGGTTGGCGGCTAAAGTATTGATTTGTTGTTCTATAATCACGTCTTCCTCTAGGGTTGTTTCTGTTTGTTTTTCTGTCGTATATTGTTCTTAATGTTTTTTTTTTGTGTAATCTTCAGGCCATTTCTTGAAACCTCTACAACTATATATGCCATTCTGCGGTAGCCACTGTTCTTGATTATTATTCCTTTAATTTGTCAATGGCATATGTTAGTGTATCCGATGGTTCTATTATTGGAGGGCTCAAAACTTGATATCATGTTGAAAGTGTATAGTTTTTATAACAACGATTCATGAAAAAATTATTTCCACTAAATGATAAATTTCCTTACGCAGATATGGCTATGGTATGTACATTTCAGGATGATTGATTCATGAATTACATAGTAACTAGATCTTTGGCCATGCTGAATCCCTAAGAAGAAAATATTGGTATTGAGCAATATAAATACGACATTTACATCACATTGTACATTTTCACCTGCGTATTTGACTTAAAAACTTGTTTGAAGTGCAGTTATTTATAGTGAAATATTGAAGACATGAATATGAACGAAAAATATTTTCAGAAAGACTGAAAGGCTCTAAATATGTAAAACATTACGTTATTTTAACCAGAACAAAGTCTGAGGAGATATTATATTGTTTTTGTTCCACCTTATTTTCTCTGCAGGAGTTCGGAGTACTCGCAGACTGTTTAGACAATCTTAATGAAACTTCAAACTCATAATAATCATCTGGTGTATTTGTACATGCAATACTCAAAATGGACATCGTTGCCATGGGAAAGGGGGATGTTTAGTTCCGGATGAAATATGATAGCTTTCAATATCAAAGTTTGTGTTTGCTCCAAAGTTCAGTTGTGAACTTCCGACATGTATGCAATGAATAAAATATTCAAAAGTTATGCCTGCATAAAATGTCTATTCATATATTAAACTTTCAAAACAAGTTTTCAGTCTGAAATATCTTAAATTTATTTAACTAAAATGCTAAAATACGATAATCAATATCAAATTCCGTGAATAAAAAACTGTGCATATGATACGTGAATTTTAAAACTAAATCTTTCTTCAAGATAATAAGAACAGTTCTCAACCTTGCATTTCAAATTATCTGTTAGTGGAAAAAAATGCATTCTGTAAAACCTAAGTCACATTTAAGCCTATGGTCAGGCGACCAAATTTTTCTCGTATCGTCGGCTGAAAAACCCCCCATAATCGACCGACACTAGTATCGGGCTACGCAGAGTAGTCACATTAATACCTAGGAACACTGATGCCTTTAAAAGTTAAAAATTCATAAGTCGGCTAACCGTCGCCCGATCATCGTTCGCTGAGCCGCATTTTGATTTTCACCATCGGCCGACATTTACGAAAACCCAATTCCTAAATGTCGACCGACCAAAGACCTACTTAATAAACTGCCTGCCGATGGTCGGACGATGATCGAAGGTTGGTCGACAGACTATTCAACGACAGCTTCAATTGAAGAAAAAATTATAATTTGGCCCGACGGACACAAAGTTAGTCGGCCGACAAAAAAAGAGGTAAAAATCGGGCAAGACAATGCCCAGTGAAATGCCGACTGTCGCCCGAAGAATCCATTTTTTGCCTAAAAAAAAACGTCGGCCGTTGGTCGTTTTTGGAAATGTGACTGGGGTTTAAGCAGTCCAAACTGGAATAAGATTTTAAGGACCCTCTATACACTAAAGGAAATGTTTCTTTCGGACATTGAGAAAATTATAGTGAGTAAAGGTGTAAATATTGAGCTTATCTATAACATTTTTAACATAGGGTACCTCACATTTACCCCCAGGAAAAATGTTCAAAGACAATGAAGTACTGATGAACAGAAATCATTGTTATTTACTTAAGTTGGCAAAATACCTGCAAATGATGTGATCAATCTATTTATCTTGGCCTTTTAAATGTTATGAATGCTTGATTTGATCACAAATTAAGGAATACACTGTACATTTCAATTTCTTTTATTCTATCAAAGGGCGGATTACTCTGCATAAAAATACCACAAAATCAGAACTCTTTAGTGTGCAGTGTATAGAGGGTTCTTAAGGTTGAATTCTTCTGGATCGACTACTACACATTCTTTTCTTTTAGATACATGTCTTAAACATATGACCTTGTTAAGATGAGTATAATAACTCATATTTTTTCTCTCTATTTTATATGTAGACCCATGGCTCTTGTTACCTACTGGATGGAAAACTGAAAGACGTCAACCCAAAGGTTTCAGACGCTTACTGCACAGAAGCAGGTTCTGACAATTCTTATCACGACAAAACAACAATGTTTCTAACTCTCTTTTCCATCGTTGACAGTGAGTTTATTTCATTAAAAATATTGAATTTCTATTGAGATTTTTAAATTAAAAAGATCAATTTGATGGGATTTATGAATAGCTCGAGGTATTCAGTTCATGCATCGCATAATTTAGCAATAAAATGTATGAATAAGTCAACATAAGAAAAGTAGGCCTCGAACTTTTTCTTCACCAGAGAGGTACTTTTATAATCTGTTGTGGTGTCATTGATTATATTAGCAAATTTTGAAAAGCTTTTATGAACTATCTAGTAAGATCATGTATTTTGTGGTTAGTAAAGAAATAATAGAATCCCAAATTTACTTAACAAAGAGCAAAAGAAATCACAATTACCTTATTTATTTCATCAATTTATCATTCTCGTCAGCATTAAACTAAAAGATGTACATATAACAATCCTTTGAATTTGCACTGAAAATCATTAAATATGCCTTTAATACCCAATTTAGTAGATCCAATCCAGTTAACAGAAGAAACAAAATCGGAATGTGTGGCTACTCACAAAGACTTTGCTACTTCTGAACTCTATGAAAAGGCTTGTGATGAACGCTGTGATGCATTTTGTACTCAGTACAGTAGGTATTTTTCATTTCTATTTGTAAAAATATGAGATCATCTCTCTCTCTCTCTCTCTCTCTCTCTCTCTCTCTCTATATATATATATACATACTTTATACGTTTATAGTTCTTTTTTCCAGACGAGCCCAGTGTTAGTTCTCAAGGTTTCTTAGATTGGGAGGATGCCTTGGAAATATGCCGCAGCCAAAATAGTTCTCTTCCCAATGAAAACTTTCAATTCTCTGACCCAACGCAATTCAGTAATGGGAGTGCAGTGTGTCTTTATGTTTTTAAAAGTTCTTCTGTCTTATTTGAACCTGTCATCAAGCTTGCAAGGAACAAAAATGGAACTATAATCATAAACACTCCTACTAATTATTCAGAAAAACTGCCATTTTTATGTGGGATGAAAATAGGTAAGAATATTTGTGAAAAGTTCTGGAAGAAGATTTTTGAGTTTCCTTTTTCTGTTTGCGTAATTTTTACTGATAGGAAGTTCAACCCACCCACCCCCAAAATATATTAATGTTGTTTCTGTGTTTTACAAAATTGTACATCAGTACTACTATAGTGTCATCAATGTCCTCACTAAGATTTTTAGACTTTATTCCCTAGATGCAAGTTTTTTCGAGATGGTTGAGTTCGTGTATAAGGAAAAATATTGAATAGTGGTTATTCTCAGAAATTCAGTAAACAAAACGAATCGTGAACAGGGCAAAACACGGACCCCTGGAAACCCCAGAGGTTGGATCAGTTGCATCGAAGAAGTAAGCATCTCCTCCAACCGATCACACCTGCCATGAACGTTATGTATTGATCAGGTACACGGAGTACTCCGTTGTCAAATTTAGTATAAACGCAATGACCTAACAAAGGGTATGAAACATGTCTGACAAAGTCCGATACAAAGATAGGTTGTATTTACAAAAAGGGACATTATAACGACCGTAAAATTTGCTGACTTTAGATGGGTTTGTTGAAATCCTTGTAACTTCAACTTATTTGCCAGTAACTTGCCTCGGTTTAAACATTGATCGTGTTTAGTTATTATTCGGTCATTTTCGTCTTTAGTTAGTAGACGCCCAAATTTGAAACAAATGTGACACACTCCGAAGTGTCTTTTATTTCAACTTCACTAGGATATATCGAGTCGACATATCAATGAAAGTAGCTCTATATAAAACGTCTTCGATATATCTAACTGTTTAGTAGAAGGCCACAGGTCTTCTCATGAAGAAGTTTTTGAATATATTCTTCCTCATATGAATATAAAAATAGCTAGGTTAATAAACCTGCACAGTGCCAATCGAAATGCCGACAGATTTTTCGAAACCTTGTCTCCATAGACTACGTAGATATTGTCAATTGGAACTCCAGCATCTTCTATATATCAACTTTAGAGTACTTGTATGTAGAAACAGAATGATTTTTAACAAAGTAATTTTGTAGATGACTAATCACCAGATATGAAAATGCGAGCTCCATTTTTATTGAGGAAGCAGTTGTCTATGATGTCGTAAAAGCCTGCTCTTAAATTTATCGTGAGGAATGGTTGTATAAAGCGTAGAAATTTTGATGAATCCAAGACAAACTAGAGGTACTGTGAGCACCGAGATCACAAAATGATACCCCCACCTCCCATATGATTATAATGGCAAAGTCCATGTTTGATATGGGAAACTCGAAATAAGTGTAACATCAAAAAGGAAATTGGAGGTGCACAATGAACTATGTAATAAAGATTCTGTGAAAGTATCATTAAATTTTATTCAGTAGTTTAGGAGGTTTTACGGATAAGAGATGGGTACCTCTCAATGTTAAATGTCAAAACCTATATTTTATCAGAAATGATTATTTTATGCAATTAATAAAATATATTTCTATACTGCATCTTAAAAAACATAATTATATAAAATAAACAATTGTATGTTCAAATAGATAATAAATTGTTGTGAAATGAACAGACAAGTTATGTACATGTACCCTCAGTTGACCACAGAGGTGCATAATACAAATTGATATCAAATTCACATGTGCCTTAAGCAAGGAAGGGTAAATAATCCCCACGGTCGTCTTCTGGGTGAAATTCATGACATTATCAAGCCACATTGCGTGTACAAGCAGTAATCATGGTTTCTACAAGTTTCCTGTGTGTGAAAACTCCTGCCATGCGTTTACACAGTTACAGTTATCGGAGTTGGAAAAACTGTGAAGGAATAGGGAAATATCTAATTATCATATTCATTAAAAGACTAGTAAGGTGATGGTTTTTATACTTGTATCACTAAGAATTTTTAAACCAGATTCCAATTTCTTATGTTAAGAGCCTCATAAGGTTCATTTTCCTGCAAATTTTTCGGTCATGAGCACCCTGATTTATGTTATAAAAACGTAATAATTTATATGCTAAATCCAATAATTTAAATGGTTTTAATAAGGCCAATTATTTTTCTCGTGATTCATTTCTATGATCTCGCCAACTTAGACCAATAATGATTTTACATCAGTAACAAAAACTAGGAATAACCTTACTATAGATATGGTCACTTGATTGACCGAGTACATGTGATTGCTGGATAAAAGTGACTTATGATAAAAATTTGCACGGCTAACATGGTTGATGATTACTTTCTCTTTTTTTATTTGCACACAGAAAAATCGAATCCCAGAGAGTGTGATATGGTGACAGGTGATTTCAACGAAACCCACACTAGGGGTACAACTTCAGAAACGTTGGAATTCCAAACAGAGATGCAACCAAGACAAGACACGTGTAAAGCTTTCATTCATTTCATTAGCATTTTGCATTTCTATGCATGAGGAATACCATTACTAATCGTGAAAATACTGCACATTTCATGAGTACACTGTAAAAATTGTGTTTAGGAATAAACACTTCTATTACATGTTTAGATCTAAACGTGTACATAGTATTGTGTTTAACAACTAAACACTTATGTCTTAACGTGTTTTATATCTAAACGCGTTTAGAAATTAAACACGTTTTACTGTAAAGTGCAGAGTTATCTTCCCGGAAATGACACACATATATTTGAACGTTAATTTGAGCGGCTATCTAAACAAAGAAAACACAACAAACTAAGGTGATGTATCAACGAGAGTTATGACAACCCAGTTCAAAGGATAACCATGACGAAATAGTGAAATACGTGAAAGGGCATATTGTTACTGCAATACATTAAAGGTTTGTTTTCTTTTTCTGTGCATTAATTAACCACGATGAGCAACGTAAATAAAGCTGACTTGGGATATCTTGAATTCGTTCATAGACTTGCAGGAGAGGAAATATTATTAATAATATTAAATGTCATTAAAAACATATATATTCATATCAGTATAGTTTTACTAAAACTTGAACAATTTTGTTTTTCTAAGTAATATAAAATATCAGTGATAGTGTACTTTTTCTAAAATCTGACTTTCTTTCCTACAGGCACTGTAGTCCAGATCGAACTCAAAATACACGTATAAGAGTACCTGGTGTCAACTTCAAGTGCAATTTTGTTGTTCCATAATCAACACTTTGAAACTTCATTTGCTGAAGACTACTGAGTTAATTCGACAGTGTTTACAGTTATCCTCGTGCATTCGAAATGGATTACTTTCTGGCAGTTATTGATGGGATATAGATTATGATACTAGTATCTGGTGCTTTGGGACTTGCTGAAAGTTCAAATAAAATTTGATATTTTTGTGATTGACATGAGGAAAACTCTGCAGCCGATTAAAATTATAATGATTATAACAAATTTATATATAAATATACATTTTGTATTTTTAATATAAAAATTCTTTGATAAAGCCTTTTAGAAATATTCAATGAAGTTTTGAAATTAAATTGTCAGCTTAATATTTTTTTCTTAATAATTTTGAAGATTAAAAGTTTGTTATCTATGTGTAAGTTATAAATAATGTGTCATTCTGATTGAATTGTTGAGACTAATCAAATCTATTCGTGAAAGTGTCACAAAATCATTTTCTGTCTAATGTACCTATGGCCAAACTGTATATTACTAAAGTATATTACATTTTAACAATTTAACATTTATACTACATGTGTTTATATTACCATGCCACACAACCTTCTTTTGATGTTTGTTATATTTACTCAATGCTATATGATGTATGTTTTGGGCAATAAAGATTACATATTCAGTTCTATCTCCTACATTATTTGTGTAAATTAAGTACATGTACATTGCACAGTGTCCATTGTATTGTATAATTAAATACATATCCCAACGTTCAGTGGCTTTATGGAAAATAATTAATATTGGTTACATATTTTGAAAATTTTGACAATTATGCGCATTGAAAAAAACATATACTTTTTGTGCCTAAATTTACGAGAGTGTTTTGTTTTTCTGCAGGTACAAATTATACTTATGATGTGTTTAGATTTTAAACACTTCTGCTGTTATGTGTTTAGAATTTAAACTCTTGTTTTTATGTGTTTAGATATGTTTAATTTCTAAGCACACAAGTGTTTAACTTCTAAACACTTTCTAAGACATTTACATGTTTAGGAATTAAACATATAAAAAGGAGGTGACAACAAAGTGTTTAGAAAAGTGTTTGAATTGTAAACACATTTTTTACAGTGTAGTTTGAGTCACATCGTATTTTTAAAATAAAAAATATACATTGAAAAATTAAAATAAGTTGTTTAAAGATAAAAATATACGACTCTCTGAAAATAAGAGCAGATAAACGACTATGGATGATAAGAGTCGTTTTTGCCCCCCAAAATCAACAATTTAGAATGTTATTCAGATTTGTGTCATTTATTTTAATTTGTTAAAGAGATTATATTAGAGATATTTCCAGTATATTTTTCACATTTATATGCACTTACAGGCTGTAAATGACGTCAGAAATTATGCTATTTTTGCAATCCAATCAAAATAAGACAAAAATGTGCATTTTTCCTGAAGTTTTTTCTATGGGAAACAGAACGCACCTTTGAACATGCAATTGTTTTTCTGTCAGTTATTAGTCTCGGATAGATACATCTTTGGTAAAAATAAAATGTTTGCTAAAGTCTGCGCTCAATATTTTCTTGAAGAAAACTGCTTGAATCTGCTTCGATCCTGTACATGTACGAACGCCACCATTAATCATTTGAGCTTTTCTGGAATTTAGGTTTTGATACGAAGTGATGTTAATCGATATTCCTACGATTTATTTCGCTTTAATGCGATATGCGACTGATCAGTTTCAGATGTCACTATCTTTCAATGTTACAACGGCGTTCAGATATGACCATGTACGGTCTGAAAGGATTCTTTCGATCGAGTCTACGATTTGATTTCAATCTGACATGATCATCACAATCCAGGTATTGTAGATTCCTAAATATACGCGAGGAATTAATAATCGCGTAATTACGCGAGAAGCACCACTCACAAAATAAAATTACTCGCTTTTATTTTTATGGTTCTGAAATCCATGTAAAATCTCTTGATCAACAGCCCATTCGCGAATTTTTGTTCTCGCGATTTGACGTTAAAGAGCCATTTCGCGATAATAAGTACTCGCGAAAAATAAGGAAAACTTGAGTGGGATTTACGTCCGCAATTACATCACTATGCTTCAAGTATTCTCTAGTTATTTGTAAATTAATTTTTGACTTGATTTGTTTGTTTGTTTGGTTGGTTGGTTGTCCCATCGAGAATTTTTCATTCATATTGAAACGCCCCCACTTGCCGGTGGAAGGCTGCAAATAAACTTACTTACGGCCTTTGAGCAGCGGGGGATCTTTTTTCGTGCCAGCACCTACTGCTTCACGGGACCTCAATTTACACGTTTTCATTCAACGGACCGGTCTATACGTCGCATAGTGGACGTAAGGATCAACTTCTTACTCTGTGATTCTAGAGCAAACGCTCTAACCGCTGCTCCACGCGAGACAATTTTTGAATTGAAGAATACAAGACTTGTAGAACCAGTGAACACCTAGTTTGAAATATTCCAGTGTGTCCTACTATTTTGTAGCAACTGCATCTTCTGGGGCCTTTCTGGCAACTCGGAAAATCATTTCCGAGCTTGCCAGAAACCTCCCGGAATGAAGTACTGTAGTCGTCCTACCAGACACTCGGTTGTCTCCGTTAATCTCAAACAAGCACTTCGTCGGAGATATACAGAGACGGCCGAGCGCCAGTTGAACGACACTAGGAAGGTAAGTTTTTATGATAATTTTAGAAATAACTGATCTATACAATCTTGGCATAATAGAGTCTAAGTTACTATCTCTTTTTTTTTTTACTTATTTGTATTTTCGAGAGTTGATAAAATGAAATTGACACGGTACAATTCATTTGTTCCAAGAATGCCCTACCATGAATTCGAACATGCGTATTCCAGTGAAAAAAAGACTGGAGAGCGCAAGCAATCACTAACCGATGCACTCTGTGTCGATAGGATACGATTTTTGGTCATGATGTCGTTTATGATCCGGATTGAGAGTTCTCACAAAATATTGACAATCACTTAATATTTCCTTTTTATATTTCCTGAAAACCGATTGTCATTATCATCCATTAACAATAAACTAGTTAGAACCGTTGTTAAAACCATCTGTTTGAAATATTTCTTAAGAAATGAGCTTTTCCACCAATGCTACAATATTTTACGCACTTTCACATACTTTACACGAATAATTTTTTCAGATATGAATATAAACCATAAATGTCTTATTATTTGTTAATGAAGTGATTAACGGTTGAAATTATTGCAGAAAAAATACACATCCCGCATATGCATGATATATATATATATATATATATATATATATATATATATATATATATATATATATATATATATATATATATATATATATATATATATATATATATATATTTCTGCAATATCACAACCTTTATTCTCGCATTTAGAATCAATGAAAGCATTTTATCCTTAATTGAGTTTCCCTTGAATCCCGTCTAGTATATTTGCAGACGAACTTTTAAATTATTACTGATTACAATTACAGTTTGAGAATTGATATTAAAATATTTTTGAATCGTGATTAAAAGGAAAAAGATACGTGGGTCAGTGACCATTTCCCACATTACGTTCCGTTAAAGATATAAAATGGAACTGACCATCTTATGCTTGCATTTGTGATATTGATAGGTACATTCTAAAGTAAAAATTCTAGTCCGATTTCAATCGTTATAGTGGAAAAATAGTCTCATTAATGAAATTTTTTCAGCTGAGGATTTACAATTACCAATCATCATTACATCCTCAATTGTTGGACTTCTTTTGATCGTTATATTTGTCTGTCTCATCACCAGGTGAAGTAAAACATGAAAACATATATTAATATGTATATTAATATATATATATATATTCTTTAAACTTTCAATAATTTCTACATATTAACTTAAAAATACAATATTAATATTATTTTCTTTTACAACGAATCATTGTAGATTAATCAAAAGAAAAGAAAAACAAGGAAATAAACGTTCCACTACAGAGGTAAACATGTTAACAGATCTTTACTCTGAGCCGATACCTGGGGCGGGTGAAAGCAAAATGAAAACAATGGATCACATTAATGCTGAAGAAGAACCAGCGTATTCTGTGACAGATTCTAAAGAAAATGAGTATTCACAACCCCTCATCAACAGAGACAATAATGGATCTGAACCTACAAAAGCTGTTACCTCTACAGACAGTGAATATGCTGATACAGATTTGGGTGAATATGACGTTTTAAGAGGCCAAAGAATGAAACTCCCCGAGAATGCATCATCGCATTGTGAAATTTATGACAGGACAAATAATGTTGTCACTGGTATTTATGACGTCACTTCAAATACGCAAAACGAAAACGAATATTCAATGGTTGATAACGATTTAAAATAATACTGCATGATTATATAATATGATTAATAATTTGTTGACGTTATGGGAATGTTTAGGGCATACTCATTTACTTTAGGCAAACAAACCGCCAAAATATAGAAAATATATATAAATGCGAAATGCGCTAGATTTTCAGAAGTTTGATTTTTCATCAGGTATATAAGAAAGTAGATATACATGTATTTTTTTTTTTTTGGGGGGGGGGGGTTCAATAAAGATGAAGAGTATTAATAGTGAAAATGTATGCTTTTATTTAATAAAATTTCCCGTAACAATTTTTTTTTTCAAATGACATACTTAAAATATAAATCACAATTATGCTCGCAATACAATTTGTTTAAAAATCATTAATAAGTATAAATTGTTTGAGTCATCATGTAGAAGTCACATTCTGTCAAGAACTGCGAACGATAGTATTGTTCTCTCGCCTATCTCCAAGTCAATTTTCAAAAGTTAACAGATTTGAATGATTTTTCATAATTATCTAGATATTCATATGAATTTTCATAAAACATTACTTCATTGGGAAAACAAAGAGAGATAACTCTATAATTTTGGTAAAACTTATGTTTTTCACTATAGAAATCAACGGAAAACGGAAAATATTTTTAAAACATCTCCCCCCCCCCTCCCCCCGTGAAACAAAAATTCCTTTTTACATGTAATATGGACTGTCATTTCACAAATTCATACCAAAGCTTTTTGTGTTTCACCGGGGGGGGGGGGGGGACATATGTCTACAGACAAAAAACTACAAAAATGCTAATTTTTTCCACCAATTTCAATGGGTTTACAATTTAAACATTGTATTTTATTAATAATATATGCTTAACTTTATATGCGTAAAACATAAGAAAAGATTTAAGGGACATTTATTCATATCCAAGAATATTTTAAAATGTGGTGATGCTTTAAAGTCCGATTTCAATGGAAAATATCGTCTACCCCCCTTATTTAAAGAGCTGGAATTAGGGGGTAATTAACAATTCAACACTGGTATTAAAATTATCAGTCAATTACCATTGAACTGTTCTTTGCATTCAACAAAGATTTTAAGGCCAAATTACCATTAGTATTGAATTATATGGGTTTAAAATGTAGGCGGGAATCGAAAGTTAGCATGCGTAGTTCTTTACCAACTTTTAAACAAATGGTTTTCTTACCCACAATTGTATTTTTCTCTGTGGAATGTTCAAAATATGCTCTACATCAATTTTTTTAATCATTTTGATATCGATCATGCCTTGAATTGAAAATGTCGCACAAAAAGCATTGCTTTGAATTTCAATATCAGATCTAGACCTACCATTAACAGCAACAAAAATATACGCCTAATTTGGCCAACCTGAATTTTATAGAAGTCTTTTGATCGCGGAAGAAAATCAGTATATATTTTTTTATTAATAATATTTATTTTCAAGACCCTCCAATCAATTACATGTTTTAATTCTTAATTTTAGGGGTGGATTTCCTGTGAACTAAAAAACACATATTTTCATCATGAATACATTATTTTTCATCATTACATATCGGAGTGACAAGATTTTAAACATGATTTAGCTCGGATATAAATAGATTTTTAATATCGTTACATGTCTATTAGATATATGTATATTATTCATTTCTTGATAAACAGGAAAATCTATGTCTAGTATGTAAAAGGTTGTACATCTTCAGTCAAGATTCTTTTTTGCAAAGTAAAATGCGTCTTAATAAAATTGAACCAATCCAAATAATCTTTGTTTTCGAAGAATTTTGAAGCATGATGATTTATAGACATAAATTTCAGTATTTTGTAGGAATGTGTAATCAGCTTATTGGAGATTTTTATGTTATTTCAATTTCATTTCATTTATTTTGTTTCATGTGAATAGTACGGAAGCCCAATAGTGCAAACCGAAAAAATAAAAAATAAAAAACGAAATTATTAAATAAAGAAAACGAAATTATTAAATAAAGAAAACGAAATTATTAAATAAAAAACAAACGAAATTATTAAATAAAGAAAACGAAATTATTAAATAAAGAAAACGAAATTATTAAATAAAGAAAACGAAATTATTAAATACAAAACGAAATTATTAAATACAAAAACGAAATGATTTTGAACCAAATAAAGTTCACCTGTGGTTTTTTTTCCATAACCAAGATATTCCAAATCTTTATACATGTAAATAAACAAGCATGTAATAATTTTTAAAAAATCAAATTTTATCAGCACCTATAACTTTAAGGAAAGGTGGGGGAAGTCAAGTAATACGAAAATCTCTTAAACATTAAATACTAGTATTTTCTTATTCAGTTAAATATCCTCCATTTTTATATCCAGTACGTGTTTCAGATAAAAATGACTATGACATCCAGAAATAACCTTGCATAAAATACGCATGCTCTGGGTTTGAAACATTCCAAGAATTCTTTATTTTTGAGAAATAAGAATTTTAATTTAAAAAGAACATAAGTTATTGAAGATAAAATATAATTATTTAACCTTAGCAAAAACTTCCAGCTGATGATACCTTTTTGTATTTTTCCTCCTCAAATACTTTATTTCCACAATGTTTCTCTGTAGTGTATATGATTGATTGATTGTATGTTGTTTTACGTCCCGTTCGAGATTTTTTTACTCATATAGAGACGTCACCAGATACCGGTGAAGAGCTTCAAATTTAGACCTTTACTCGGCACTCAGGGCCATTGAGCAGTGGGGTTCTTTATCGTGCCAATGCCTACCGTGACACGGGGCCTCGGTTTTTAAGGTCTCATCCGAAGGACTCGCAACTTTCACTTCAAAGTGCCGAGCGCTTGGCGAAGGAACAGTTGCTACCTATTTTTTATCGACTTAGGTCAGTTGCGGCCGTGATTCGAACACACGACCTTCCAATCACGGAGCGAGCGCTCTACCAAATGAGCTACCGTGACGGCCTGTAGTGTATTTAAAATGATTTTTGGAAAACTTCAGATTATGTATGTGTTTATAAAGATATCTAAAAAAAACTTCTCAAAGGTCAAAACTGAGATGTGCAACTGCGCCAACTACAGAGTTATGTAAAAAATAATCTGGTTTAAACAGGTTGGGACCAATTTCCCAAACGGGATAGGTATCACAAACGGGTTATTATGAGCCGAACGGACTATGTATAAACAGATAAACTAAGGCTATAGACCGCGGTTTTTTATTGGACAACAGAAAAACATGATTTGCAAGATGCCCCTTACAGTGGTGAAGAAATACATATCTAATGTGTAGTCTCGGTGATCATTTACATGTTTTTCATCTCTAATTATCAGCGTAGGTTATTTTCTTTAATAATAAAAGTTGCCGTGATCTTATTTATTGATCAGTCTTTGTAGAATTGAAACAATGAATTATCGCAATATCAAATTATCGAAACAGAAATTGATTATGATCTTTGATGCGCCTCAATATTGGAGTTAATGTATGGAGTACAGTTAGATCTTTGATTGTAAATAAAATAAATCTTAAAGAGGGAAAATAAAATATAATTATTTAACATATTTTGAATACATTCGCCCCTATTCAATAGAATTTTAAAATTTTAAATTTTGTGCATAGTCTTTTAATATATTTCATACACTAAATCCACATTTTCAATGAATAAACATTTTTCTTAAAAAGAAAATACAAAAAAAAAAACAAAAAAAAAAACAAAAAAAAAACCAAATTGATGAAACTGTTACTCTTGGAAAGACAGCTAGGAAAGAACACGAAGTCTGTTACAGCAACGGTGGGTCAATGGGAGTGTCATTGGCATTTTGTTAAACAAAAGAACATTCTAGAAATTTGAATGTGCTTTTGTGCGTGTATTTGTGCACCATACAATCTGAATGGATTTTTTTTTATAAACAATATCTAAACACTATATCGATAGTTTTTGATCACAAGAATATGCAAGCACATCAACATGGCGGAGAGAGGATAAGTTTTTCGACGAGTAAGAATACTTGTGGTATTTTTTAACTTTAAAAAGCATTTAAACGGAAATTCCTATTGTAACTCAACAAGTGGCATACAGTCCACCTGCTGTACTCCCATTTGTACAATGTTTCTTTGTGTGACACCGTACATAACAGTGTCTTAAATTGTATATTTGGGTCCAATGTGCAATCCTAATTCTTTGAAAGGAGTGTATTTGGGAATTTCTTGTGCAAAATATAAAGCCAAAATTAACATAGCCTGTTTGAGATACTCATTTATAGTTCCTTTAGATCATCTTACCCGTTTGGGGTATTCAATATCGCATTTGGGAGGTTGGTCCCAACCTGTTAAAATTTCTAAATAATCATAAACATTTTCTTCCTCCAGTTAGATATTATTTAAATAGCTATCAGACTCTCAGTTACAAAGCGACAGATGATACATATAAAAAAATGGATGCCTGGATTGGTATATATGTATGGACTTATTTTGGTTGTAAATGATGCAAATAATGAACTTCTTAAATACTAGAATAATTGTAGAACATTCTATGATGTTTAAAAATTCTACCTTTCGGCAACCATTCTTTTAATCTATATAACTTTTTGTCACTTGAAATGCCATTGTTGTGAAAATTTGAATGAAAAATCAAAATCTAATTCAGTTTGCTTATATAAAAATTGCTTAAATTGTTATTGTCAAGATTTCTGATAAAAGTTTGTGTCATCCGTCCTTAAGTTACGACAAAATTAAAATGATTTAGTTAACTTCCAATGCAGTTCAAGTAGGAAATAAACTCTTATGAGATCAACACGACCTTTTATCTACTATAAACACAAGGATGATCCTTACAAACAAAATAAGGGTTCCAGTAAATGTTCTACCAAGCCTCTTTCTTTACTCTTCACTAAGATATTAAAAACAGTGAGAGAGAAACTTCAGGAGTACCGTACAACAATATTAGAAAAATGGTGTAAATCAGATTTGGATTCTTAAAAACTCTGAGGAACTTTTTAGAAAATTTGAAATCAAAACATTTTACCATAATCAAACATCAAAACGTACGACTTTTCAACAC